CCCCGGCGTAAAAATTCACTAGACTTAATAAAATATTATATGCATATTTGAAAATAATATGTTTGGTTTAGGTAGGTATTTATTATATATGTTCGAATTCTTCGTCCCACGTTCACAAGATAGACAATATAATAATTTTAAATTGTATAGGTATCAAATACATTAATATCTTTAACTTGTAACTTGACTGAATAATTTGAAATTGTAATTTGTAAATTACTTTTAACAGATAATTAATAAAAGAACCTACATTCAACTTACAATATACGTGTGGATATAGTCATTGTCTTCATTTTAGATTTTGAGCGGAGATACTTTAATGTATTGACTTTACAATGGGTTTTTTTAATTTTTGTTTCTTTGGTTTCCAAAGACTTTTTTATATAAAAAAAATGCTTTTATCTCCAACTTCAATATATTTTTTGAAAAACATAAAAAAAAATAGAAAAACTAAAATTTTATCCAAAATTGATTTTATTATTTTGTTGTAATGCAATAACGAAAAATTGTATATAGATACCTCTAAATACCTGAAACTCTCCCGTCACCATAATATTTCGTCCGCTATTTGGAGGTATATTCGGTCAGAAGGATTTTTTTTTTGCATGTCTTTTTTTAATTGAAATAACACTAAATGCTTGAATTGCTTTAACTAAAAAATTTTAAACTTTTCGCCATTACGTATACCTATCTTATTATTTATCATTGAAATTTTCAATATACTTACTGTAGGTATGTATGATTATATTTTAAGCTTTACTATCTGTTTAAACTTCTTAGAACAGTATAATTGATATTTCATTCTATAGTATTTGTATTCCTTAATTGTATTTGTCTATATATTGTATTGTCTTAAAAATAACTATACAGTGAAACCTCCCTCTAACGGACCAAATGTCGGTGATCGAGTGTCCAGTATTTAGAGGTTTCATTGTACGTTTATTAGGAGTAAAAATGTCAATTGTGGTGGGTGTGGTTAAACACCCATAAACCACCCTATGAATGGCAGGGGCTATATGATATGGAAAAACTGAATGTGACTTTAGTACTTTACCTATGTAAAATGTAACATTGTGTTGACCTCGTTGTTCATGGAATAAATATTTTTTATTGTATAATATTTTATATTTATTTTGGCAGTTCTTTGTCCGATGATCAAATGCTAAAATCGGTAAATACTAAATTTGTATTTTGTACTCAGAAATAGAAAATATTCTCTTTTAGATATTTACGATTTATTTAAATGTTGGAAACACAGACTCCTTGGCTTATGATAACTTTTATTACGCGAAATACTTCTGAGGATCTAGAGAAATTCTAAAAATAGATAGGTACACAAGAATATTTACAACTAATTGTTAGTGTTGATAACATCGAACACCGATTGCCGACTACCATAATGATATCGTCAGGGAGCATTATTTGTGTTTTTTTTTTTAATCGGTATTACTACTATTATTATGTTGTAATAAAATTAAATAACATAGGTATTAATATTAACATCTTTATATAGGTAGCTTTAATAACAGCTTATAAGGAACGGTGCATTAAGTACCTATTAATAATTTTGACCGAGGAACAATTATTGTAAAAAAAAAAATAATAATTTCACATGTCTATAATAATAGGTATGAAAATTTAAATATTTAATGACAATGCCAAGTATTGATAGTAATTAGTTATGCAATACAAAAAAAAAAATAAAAAATCGATTTTGAAAACTAGTTTCGTGTAAGAATTATTTTTTTTGACAAATATTTTTAAAAATTACTGGCTTTTATTATGAATTCCCAAAAATACCAACAAGATTCACTTTTTTGCCAGAAAATATATTGAAGTTGATAATCAAAGCTTTTCTTAAATTATAAAAGATCTTTTACCTACATAAAAAAAAAACTGTATTTTATATTTATTGTAGTCTCAATCAAAATACATTTTACAAAACTCACATAAAACCGATTATTTATGATTGTTGGGGAGTACATTTTTAATGGCCAAAACTAAATGTATAAATCTCTCTTGCGTCCAATATGGGCATATGCAATCCAAATTTGGGGCTGTGCTAAGCCGTCCCAAATTCGCACGATACAAGCATTCCAGTCCATTACCCTCCGTATGATAACGTCTGCTCCTTGGTTTGTTTCCAACTCTTCACTACACTCTGACCTAAAAATTGAGTCAGTTGACCAATTAGCCACCAAACATTACAGATCCTTCTACTTCAAACTACCTTCCCATACTAACCCATTAATATCACAAATCTCATCTACCCAACCCGTAAACCCCATCCATAGGCTCAAAAGAAAATATTGCAGAGATTTGTTAACCTAAAATAAACACACATTGGATTCCATCACTGGTTGGCCTCCCTCTTAAAATTATTCAAGTTAAATATGTACATAAATTATCTAATTTACGTATTGTGATGTTAAACACAGATTGTAAATATCATTATTTTTAATACAAAAAAAAAAAAAATGGCAAAACTCAAAAGGTTCTTGCAGATTTACTAAAAAAACAATAAACCATATTATAATATTATATAATATTAAAATGTATTATTATAAATAAATAATTCATATAATTATTACATTGATATTTATTTTTTATTTATAAATTAGTTAGAAAGGTTATACAGTATTACCTATTTATTAATTAAACACATCTATCGACTTTGGTAAATATATAGCAGAATAATAATTTTTTTTTTATTAAGCTTAAATCTCTACGATTGAGGTAGGTTGGTAGAGTAGGGCTGGAACGGTCAGTTAGAAACACGTGTATGTGTGGCAAGGTTTTTGCACACTACAAACACATGTGGTCACCCATCCGAGAACTAGTGGCAGCAGCCGTTGCTTATTCTCAATCACGTAGCACGATTATCATCACGTGCCACAGAATAATAATTTAAAAATACAAGGTCACACAAATCGATAAATTAAGTAAGTTGGATATTCAATATCATATTGTAATTATAATAATTAATATCTATAGGTATAAAAATATTCTAATAGCTACACTACAATTTATGACAATTCAATATTATAATATAATACCTAATCTAACCAGTGGCATTAATCTAGTCAATCAATTAAAACTATTGCTTTAAAAAAACTTTAATTATCTTTTAAGAGTAATGGTTACATATAATATGGTTTACCAAAGCATTAATTAGATAAAAATCTTGATGATAGTCGTTATAAAATAAATAATACATTTTACATAATATCAGATATTTACTTATGTATATTTTCATTTTTTAATCATACAATTTAGTGATGAATATAATATTATACAGGTAGTGATAATTTATTAACTTTACAACTGGGGCATTTCAATCAAAATTGCCCATCTTAGTCATTTTTAGATTGGTATCCCAGATCTGCAAATATATTCAATATAGTATGAATCTATAGTTAAATTTAAGTAATAATAAAATAAACGATAAAATTATGATTAGCAATTCTTCTAAAGCTACGGCTAACTCACTTGACTTTATCAACTAATAAACATAATTAATAATAATTCATCTAAATATAGATGTTTTATTAGAATTTAACATTATGTTGATTTAATATAAGCAATAGGCTAATAACTATATAGTTAAAGATTAAACAATAAAAATCAACACAGATAATTTAACTTTTTTTTATTAATTAATTAATTATTAATTTTATCAAGTATCGCCATAAATTAATATCTGGTATTATGAACTCCGATTATTTTTTTAAACCGTGTAATTTGGGTGTTTGTCTTTATTTAAAAATGTATATTTTTAGTAAATTTGAATTCTTAAAATATTTATATCTATCAATAAAATTCTCCTTGCATTAAAACAGATTATTTTTATATAATATTTTAGAATCAATTTTTGATTAATATCAGATATTAACACTTGGTCATTTGATTTAAAAAACATTAGAATAATAATTGGTTGATAGTTTAATTTAAGTTTATTGGATACAAATAAAACTTTAATTTGCTGCATATTATTAGATACATCGACAAACAAAATCTCATTTTCAAATCTTCGAATATACTTATTAGATACATCTTTATAATATTATCAAAAAAAAAGAATATACCAATATTCAAATAATTAATCAAATACATTAAAAAAATTAAGATTTTAAACTAGTTTAACATTATTTTTATTGGTTCTATATAAATTAGAATACAATCAACCTTAAGGCTTCAAATCATTGTCCGTCGATGTTAGAATACACATACACAATATAATATATTATAATAATTTATTATTAAGTTGAACCGGAATAAACTCCAGCAGTTTATATACTACATTCACAAAAAATAAGAATAAACGAATTAGTAAAAAATGTAAAAATGTAGTAACATAAAAAGATCACAAAATAAAATGAAAAAACTCACATTACATAGATATTTTAAATGTTATAATTTAATTAACAAAAAAAATAAATTTCAATTAATCTTAACTAATAGACTGATGAAAGTATTGCCTAACATGTGAATATATTTGTTCTTCAATTGAATTTTGTTCCAAACTAAAATCCATCCCACACAACTAAAACAAAAATAAATTAAATAAAGTAAATCAAGTGTAATACAGGAATCAAACGTGATAAATAATCGTATTTGAAGAATGATTCTGAGCAAAGCTTATCTTATCAAAATTAATAATGAATAGAAATTTAATTTGATTTCATACTGCCAAAAAAAGTAAATATCCCATTGTAAAACCTTTATATCCCTCACTCCATCTAAAATAATATATCACAATAAATAATCAATTATTATCTATAAATGTTTAAATATAATATATGGCTAAATAGGTTAAACTTTACCATTATTTTTAGTTAATCTTTTTAAACTATTTGTTAAGTTAAAGAATCATAAGGGTAATTGAGGAAATTGATAATAACGATTTACACATTCTATAACACTGTACTATAACAATAAATTAAACTTACAGATTTGTCATAATTTTCAAGTCCCATTTTCAAGTCACAGAATATGAATATTTAATCCTTTTTATTCCTAGAAAAAAAAAATATAATTTGGTTAGTAATTACATCTTTGTATCTTGTAAATTATTTCAAACAAAATAAAACTATTAGGTACAATATATTATATTAACAACTGGTAGAGTTACCCAGCTTTGTCAGAATAATAATATATTTATATATTTTTACTATTCAATATTAATTAATTTAATTAACTAGAAATATTTACAATTAATGTCTTTAGATAACTGTAAAACCTCATTTTCTGGCACATAAATACATAAATATTCAGATTTTTGCACTCTATATTAGATTATGGCACGTTATTTGTTTTATATAATAATTGTATTGCAGTGCACTAGTTGACAATTGCAAACAAATTTGAGTATGTCTGCTGACAATACAAAATACATAATGTACATGACCAGGACCAGATCACCAAATGGAAAAACTGCAGTATGGTAATCCCCAGACTGGAGAGGTATTTGGAAAATTGTGCAAAAAAGAATTCTGAAATAATTAATTACCTAGGAATTTACAAGAATGTGGAATATTCAAATTCAATGTCATCCTACTCTTAGTAAATTGGAAAAATTAAGATGTGGTAATACAGAAGTTAAGGAATCACTCTACAATGAAAATTGTGAGATTATACAAATGTTTTGGCCAAAAAATGGGAAACACAGGGATTTGGAACATGGGTTTTCATGTATAATATATAGAAAAGAGAAATATTTAAATTGAGATAATTATGTTTCCAACAAAACTAAATAATATATTATTAAATATTTTAATTTAGGTCTGGTGAAAAAAATATTTACAAAAACCATGTATTAAATATAATAATAACTATTTTGTGACTCAATTTTTTTCTTTATAAAAATAAATACATTAATAAACAATATTTAAAATGTGTTTTTTTTTAAAAATATTTTATTATTTTTAATAAAGTTATAAAGCTGCATTTTTTAGGAAAGTGTTTTGTACTTTTGTCTCCGAATTTTTACATAATAACAAAACAAGTACATTGTATAATCTGATTATTTTGTTCTTAAAAGTGTTAATCAGGGGCGGACTGGGCCGGCGGGATACCGGGAACTTTCCCGGTGGGCCGCTACTCAAAAATAATTAGTTACCTATTATTATTTATTTATAACAAAATCAGTAGGTATAAATATAAATGATAAATATTTTGTATTTTCATATCATAACTGTTGAGTGTGCAAAATGTTTATATTATATTTGGTGTTAAAGATTTTAGATTTCGGTTCAGCTGGTTGACCAGCCCCTCGGCATCAATGCATAAACAGAAATTATTATTTATAACTACTAGGGTGTGAATTTGAAGATAAATTGCATTTTTTTCTGGATTCTCTTAAACATTGCTTTCCAATCAAAAAATGTATTTCATACATAAAATAATTTAAAAATTAAATTTTTATTTAACATTTTTTTAACTTTACTGATTTATAGAACATTTTTTTGACGTTTTTATGACATTTTTATCGTTTGAAGGAATTTTTCGTAAATTTTATAAGTATATATTATACAAATATACAATTTTATAAACACTATTAGCTTAAGTTCCTTCAAGAAATTTAATATAATTAAAAATCATTTTTTCTTACTAATATTTCTATTTTATTACGTTTTATTTTATTTTGTTTGCTCCTATGACTTCAGTTATACAAAACAACACTTGCCAATAATTCTAACTGTCAAAGTTTTTTATTCAAAAATATTGATTAGCTTCTGATTGAAAAGTGATTATAATGAAACACAATATATGACGACTAACGACTAATGACTATACCTATTTAAGTTCTATTTTATTTTCATTTAAATTGGCTTTTCATTTTTCTGGGCATTTTACTAAGCTTTGTAATATTGTTACTGTGCATAAAATCGTATTTTTAAGGCATTGTTTTTTTTATTGTATTTATATCCATGCCCTATTTTTAACTTAATATGACTTTATTCTACAGTCGATTAATATATCCACTTCTAGCCAGCCAGTATTTACTAATTATAACTAACATTAAATTGTACACAATAAAAAATATAATATAAATATATTGTACCTACATAATAGTAAAATATAAAAGATAATTTGTGATAATTTGATGGGAATTAATAAGCTGATAACTAAAGGTACAGTTTCGTACGTTCAATGTAACGTCCTTAATTCAAAAAAGTGAATTCTTGAACTTCTTTTTTATTTTATTGTAGTGTACTAGTGTATCGTTTGATGATTTTGTAATATTTACTTATCTATTTGTTGTTTAAAATGGAAACTAAAAGAAAGAGTGGGGTTGAAAAAATCAGAGAGAGAGAGAAGGATACTCTTAGAAAAATCAAGTTAAAGTAGTTTAAACGAACCTATTTTTTTCATCCGTTATGGATCACTTATAGAGTAGGTAATAGAAAAAGTGATATATACATAATACTGTGCAGTACATTTAATTATGATAAAATACTAAATAGGTACATTGAGAATCTTAAGTTGTCTCCTGAGGAAATTAAAAATGAGTAGGTGGAGGATGCAACCATTATTTGTCATAACTTTGGTACCATATTTAAGTCTTACATTTAGTGATGACGACATTTTAAGGGCCGGTCAAAATATAAATTTCCCGGGCCGAATAGTTGCCCCAGTCCGTCCCTGGTGTTAATTTATTTTTAATGTATATTTTAATAACTAACTAATCTCTATTAGTTTTCTAAAAATGTATTTCAATCAATGACAACAAAATATAAGAATAAATTAATGAATTACAATGTATACAACTAATAATAAGACCACTTGAGAGAAATTAGTAACTAAAAGGAACACATTGCCATTAATACTACAGTAGGTACCATATAATATCCAAGTATTTCAACTTTTGTATACATAGTAAATAATATGTACATTAAACAATATTAATATTACAATAAGATAATTAAAATAAATATTCACTAACAGAAATATTAATTTTAGTAAAGTCTTAAGTCCAATAAATGTTAATGTTGGGGGACGAGGTGGCCGAGCGGTCTAACGCGTCGGCCGCGGCGCTGGCAGTCGCGGGTTCGATTCTCGGCTACCGGGCGGCATTTTTTTCCGGGCAAGTCACGGTGTCCGGAAAACAAGTGCCGCCATCCCCCCACTCCGGGGCATGGCAGAAACCTACGGGTGCCCCAATAAAAATTCTGCCACCACAAACACACGTGTTTACAAACCAACAGTTCCCTCCCCTACAAACCAAACAAACAAACAAACAAACAAAAACAGCTAATGGCCATAGTTGCAGGGCTTAATGATCAATGAAAAAAAAAAAAAAAATGTTAATGTTATTTACATAAAATAAAAATGTAGACATATTAATCTAGATTATAGAGTATTAGAAAATAATGTGAATATGTGATAGTTAAATAATTTGGAGCTACCAACACCAAAGTTAGCATAGCAACTGTATAATATTTTTCATAATTTTATTTCTAATTATAGGTAAGTTATTTATAAATATATTTTCTTACGATAAATTTTGAATATCGTGTGGAGATAACCGTTCAAGTAAGACATAGGAACGGTACAATCTTTCATAATCACCAAATAAAGTCACAAAGTCCATTGATAGCATATTATTGCCACTTTCTTCTTCATTAGATTCTTCCGATCTAGATTCCATCAAAGAGTAAGCATTTCTTTCTGGTATCAGTCTACATGAATAAAAATATACAAATATAAATTAATCATAATTTTTTACAACTTTTTAAGAGATTTTGAATACACATTTAATTAATAGTTATAAGTTCTATCAATACAATGAAACATTTCGTTATAAATACTCCACAAGGATTAACCAAAGTTATAAAAAAAAATGTTATAATAATAAAATTAGTGAATCCATTATAACCTTATAATGTTTTGCTAAATTATAGTTATGTGATTAATAGAAATGTGAATTCATTAATATTTATTAGTATATATTAGCTACTTACGAGATAATAATATTAAAATATTATTAATATTTATTCTATATTATAAGTTATAACTAATAATTAAAATCTAATGTGTGATATTTATTTATTTAATTACTCCATTAAAAGATAAAAGATCCATTTATAATGAAACATATTTTCAAAACAAAATTATAATATAATTTACAAAAAATTTTAGCTGCATATTTTATTATCAGCTATCAGTTCATTGATCGAAGACATCCAACTATAACACATAATGATACCTTCTAAATACCTACAGATATTCTGGAAGAGTCTATAATACCGTCATGTTATATGTGCTCTACCGGTCACATTGTGACTTCAGTATGTGCTCTAACCTTTTTGCCACTCTACAGCTATATTTATATAATATCAAAGCGGAAGACGTAAAAGTTGTTATAATGACAAATTAAACAAAGTTATTATAAATAAGTAATGTATAAAGAAAAATTATTTTTATTATTATACTACATAAGACACTTTGGTTGTGTTGTTATTTATCACCTACAAATGTACACTTTAAATTTTTTTTAAATTTAATTGATAATTAAAAAAAAAATACAAAAATATTTGTGCCATATCCCTTATAAAGGCGTTAAGTGTGTCTCTTTTATTGATTGCTTTCCACTATGATTCAATAAGATACCTGTATAGCTATTTATTATATATTTTATCAATACATAAGACTCTATATAATATTATATAAGATTATATAATATTATACTTTGAAAGCATACAAGTTGTACCACAAATTGTTTGTATAAATTTTAACCACACAAATTTCTACTCTTTGAGTATGTGCATTTAATACCATCATTATAATCTAGCAATGGAGACCGCACGACGAGCCTCCCGTAACCGCTAATAGATGAAAATCTGTAGTAGAGCCCAAACTACAAGATAGCCATAATTATTCCTAAGTACTAAATATTTATTTTATTTTAAATTATTAATATATACTGAATGTTTGTAAAATACAAAATTAGTGCCTACAACTAATGAAATTAAAAATATTATCATATCATACTGACTTGTAGCCATTAATTTCTTCTAAACTGCAACGCTCCAAACGAACATAAGGGATTTTTAATTCTTCAGAAGATTCGATTTTAATTTGGTCGGTTTTCATTCTGTAAATAAATAGGTGATAACAAATTATAAAGTAAAAAGTAAAAAATAAATACACATAAATAAAACCACAAACTATAAATACTACATAAATAATGAAAACAACAAATGATTTTTTTTTAATTTGATAATAGGTACCTAGGTCAATTCATTCCAATATAAAAAAATTACAGAACTATATGGATTATTCTGAATATAAAAGTTGCAATGTTATGCAAAGTTGCAATAAGATAGAAACAATACATAAAGGTACCTATCTAGGTTTAACTTCCTCACAACAAATTATTATAATGAAAATTGTTATACAATATGTTTTTGTTCTAGTGACTATATTGCATTAACAGACATACATTTTGCTATGGATACTTTTATTTAACAATTATAATTTAATTAAGTAGGTAAATTTGTGGAAATAATACTATCGTGGTCCCCATATCAGTGGTGAAACCTCACGGAAAAAAGAGGTATTTAGTTACTTCTACTGATGCTCTTTAGACATTCTATAAAATATAGAAGTATGACAGTAGGATATAGGAATTGTATTTTAGCAAAAATGGGTTGAACTCTGGCTTTTGGGTCTGGGTTAAGCCAGAGTTCAACCCAAAAATGTTATAAATACAGATCAGGTCAATGAAGCAAATGTGCTCAGACCACAAAATGATTATTGTAATAAAACGCCATTTCCACGATCGTTATACACTGATAAGCAACAATCAGGCCACTGAAATTTAATTTTGTATTTATTTTATTTTAATAATTAATATAAGGTTTCTGTACACATTTATTGAGTAGTTATAATAGGTCTAACCTACTTATTATACTTGAATCTAACTGAAACTAGTTAATAAATATTTTGAATCAAAATAAAACAGCACAGTAGTGTTATTGACTCTGAAAAATCCTCGGAAAAATCTAAGTGTTTCAGGTTAATTTATGGATTTTTAATTTTTTCAACAAAACAACAACATAATATACGCTGACACGAAAACAATGACTTAAGTTTTAAAATTACAATTTGTAATAAGCATAATAAATGTGTTACAGAGTGGTGCAGTGGTGTACACCCATAGGGCCCAAGTGTTGGCAACACCTTAAATATGGGTGGGCGAGTCGCGGATATTGACAGAAGAAAAATAGGACATTTTATGGGTCGGTTTAACAATATTATGAAGTATGGGTTACCTAAAATTATTTGAACACCAATTTTTTTTTAGGATACCTACACGCCATTGAAGAGGTTTAAGGCGGGTGAGATCTCTCTTCAGTTGGTCTACAATTTAAATATTTTATTTAAATTAATATCGAAAGATCAATGGGCGTCACTGAGAAAACCTAACCTAAGCCTCCCCTAGAATATTGATCCTGGTGTATTTTTCATACCGTGGGGTCGAGATGCGGTCTGAGGAGAAATTGGTAATTATTACACAGGGTCGGGACTCGGGAGTACAACTTCGAGACTTGACAAGCCAAGTCAACCAAGTATACATTTCTAAATGTACAAAGTATCTAATTGGTACCAACTTACTTGGATGGTTGTTAGTCGCTGAAATAATTATAAACGAATCGTACGAGAACAACTGCAGAAATGAACGGACGGCGACGATTTTTCTGACGTGCGCAGTGATAGTCCAAAACCGTGTACGCAATTCCCAACAGTGACGACCACGGAGTAAACAAGTGAATTCACTATAGCAATCCTGAATCCAGTATTCCCGACAGAAAAACGAGAAACGAAAATAGTTTACAACTATGGTTATTGGTTTATCCTTCTATATATATAATTATTACTATCGTATTATACAACTCCTATTCTTTTTTTTTTTATTATGAACTTTAGTGTTAACACTTTACACTTCACAACAATGGAAAAACAAAACAACAACACTGTACAACTACTACAGTCTACAATCGAATATTCCCGAATTCTATATGAGATCTGGTATATATCATGGAGTAAATACTCCAAGGTGTATACCTGGTATAAACCATGATAATAGACCAAAGTCAAAATGGCCTAAATTTAAATGACCAATCCATTTTCATAATCTCTATGGCCTCAATGGGTATTCGTGATATGAAATATAAATATTATTATTATTATTTTTTTTTTTATAGATACTGATAATAATATAATGTATACGTAAAATATAAATTCATAAATAGTATTAAAAATTGAAAACTATATTACCGGTTTTGAGTTTTGACAGTGAAAATCGGTAACTGGAAAGGTATTATTTTGATTTGTACACAGTTATGTTCAAACGAGCACCTATATTATAGTCATTATTATAGTAACATGTCGGCCAACACAAGTACCCGGGATAAATTACTTGGTTTGCTCGACGACTTCGAACTTTTGAGCAGGTAATGTTGAATTTACTTTAGGATAATTTAAAGATTATATGCCATATCATTAGTATTTCAAATTATATGTATTATATCCAGATTTTTTGTACTCAACTATTCTAAATTCAAATTAAAACTGTTAGTATCAACATTTATTTTACCTAAATAGTAAATTGATACTGAAATAATTCTTTTTAAAAAAAAAATCCAGCGTGATTTCTTGGTTGCAAGATGTTCAAATAAATCTAGAAGATTCTTTGCTTAATCAAATAGGTATTGTATAGCACAAGTTTACATGCGTACTTAAAATAAATGTAGGTAGTTAATATTAATTTTTGTTATACCTATTATGTTTATTAAACAAGATTATTCGTGATATTACAACATTATAATAAGGTTAAATGTTTACCATATACTTTAAGTTGTACGATAAATATTAACTTTACTAAGAAGTTAATAACAGTGATTGACATGAATACTGTTTAATTTATTATAATACATAGGTACTTTGTAAATATCCTCTAAAATTGTTTAACATAACATCTTTTTTTTTAATTAAAATAGTAATAACATTTTACATAAAACTATATAGAGAGCTGATTGAAAATTTGAGTGCTGGGCGACAACAAAAGATTAATGTTCAACATCAGTTACTCCTTACAGAGCAGCTTGTAGCCACGGATAATGAAATAAAGGCTACTTTAAAAGTTGCAGAACACCAAGCAGAAGTAGAAAAAAAAGTAGATGCTATTAAGGAAGAAATAGAAACACAAGACCAACATATTACACAAATGCAAAAACATTTCAAAGAAGCAGAAAACATATTGGTAATTATACTGTAACTTTCTTATCTTGACTTAAGACGGTAACATTGATTTTGCTTTTTAGGCAACAGCGTTATTTCAAGCAAAACAAAAATTACAATCCATCAACAAAGCAAGCAAACATCCTGTATCCTCAGAAGATCTCATAAAATATGCTCACCGAATAAGTGCATCTAATGCAGTGTGTGCACCTCTTACATGGCAACCGGGTGATGCACGTAGACCTTATCCTACCGGTAATTTTCAAACATATATATTGTAATTGGTAATATTATGTTCTATTTTACTTGGATGTTTTATCTATATTTCAGATATTGAAATGCGAATGGGATATTTGGGAAGATTAAGCGATCTACCACTTAATGGACATATAATGCAGCCTCAAGGTCTAGCTGATATGGTGCGATCAAATAATCAAATAGGTATATTAGTAATAATTTGTTAAAAATTAAATTTTTGAATAATTTTGCACATGAATAAATATTCTTATTAATTATTTCTTTAATACTTATGATAATTAATATTTTTCAAATATTTTTAACAAAATAAACCCATTGTCGTTAGGATTTTTTAATGCATACATTATTTAGCTTAGATTTAACTAGTTTTTGTACTTCAATTACATATATATATTTATTATTTAATATTTATATTTTATTGAAATAAAAATATATAAAACAATTAAATAATAAATCTAAGCTAAATTGAATATTATGCATTAAAAAATTCTAACCCCAATGGGTGTATTTGTTATACTGATATATAAAATTAAAAGCAGTTACCTTAGCTAGATACTATCTATTAACCAACCTAGGTTTTGAATGGTTTATTTTCAATGTAGACTTTCTACTGATATGTGGTCTATGATTAGTTAATTTTATTATAATAGTACGTATTCTATATATTCAAAAAAATTTAATACTTCACTTCAATTAATCTACTATTTAAATATAATATACAAAAGGCTTTTACATTATGATTTGTTTTTGTTTTTTTAATTTTTACAATATTGTTGAGTTATATATCGGATCCTCATTGATCATATATTGTTTGATTTAAAGTTTCCAACTGCAACTATTGACTGTCATTGATAGTGTATCGATAAACAATGTTAGTTTATCAATTCTATCATAATGAATCTAAAACAGTGAACATTTAACCAATTTAAAAACATTGCCCATCTAAAATATATATTTTAATCATTTAATCTATAAGTAAAATTGAACAGTCATGAACTTACAACTTAAACTCTATATTATAGTACGCACATAAGAACATAAGACATTGTTAAATTATGCAAAACTATATTATAGGTAGCTATTATATATGAACAGTATATTATGTCTTATTTAATTCATAAATTATAGTCTTTATAATATGTAGTGTTAAATATAACAATTGATTTTTAAATGTATTTATCCCACCACTTGGTTATAGTTGACTTGAATAGGTATTACTTGTTTTGAAAATTATAGTGAAGTATAATGTGATTAGGTGTATTACAAAGTTTAAATAAATAAAAAACATACTGATCTGTTTAGCTCTTAAAACAAATTATTTTCTGAATATTAAACAAGTAAATTTTCACTACAAATACAATAAGGCCATAAACGGCATAAACTATGAACAGTTATTTTTCAGGAAATCAAATTTATTAAATCAAGTTCAATGGTTAATAATAATTATATCATTGACTTATATTAATAACTGAATATTGTTATCCATAAAATATATTGTTAAAAATTTTTGTATTAAAAAATGAATTCAGTAATACCACAACCTCAAACATCACATTTTATTTTTTACTCATGGCCTTATTATACTGATAGTAATACCAAATAGATTTTAAAATATTACGAATTTGTATTAAAATAAAACTATAAATTAATACTTGATTCAGAATATTATGAACTAATAAAGTCATAACTGTTATTAGGTGTGTGAAGACATTATATTTATCTATTTAACCAAGCACGTGGTTTGACCTCCCCCAAAAAAATTGTTTTGTGTACGTGCCTGTATACATCTTACATGTATATTCACAATTACTGTCTTGTAAAATTACACACAAAGAGTGACCCTAAGAAGATTTTGTAACTTAAGGTTAAAGTATATGTTGTAGAAAGTTATGTTTATAATTTGTCTGTGTTAAGGCCGTTCTTACAATGCCCGGTAAAGTGTTGGTTAACTTAAACCGGACATTGTAAAAACGGCCCTTAATCTATTAAATTTTTTAATTATTTCTTTTCAAAAAAATTCAATATTTGACTAATGTTTATAACATTATGTTTAACATATATTTATTTCAAAATAATATTTACATTCTTAAAGTTATATATAATATATATATATATGTAATATGTATATGTATAATAGTATAGTAAACTCAATTCATGATTGGAAAGTCTGTTAGTTTGCTATTCATTATTTTAGGACTACATCATTTGAAATACATTTTTTATTTAAATATTTTAGTTATTTGTTTTAAACTAATAAATAAACTACATTTAATTTTTAGATCGTCAAGCCTCTCAACAAAATCAATTTGCTTGGCATTCAACCGGTGATATGCACTTAGGAGTTGGTAGCGGAGTCATAGATACTAGAAATCATTCTAAAGATGTTGCGGAAGATGTTGAAGTTATGTCAACAGATAGTAGCAGTTCTTCATCCAGTGATTCTCAATAGTTATAAAAATAAAAAATAAATACAAATTAAAAAGTGGTGATAATATTATTATGTTTACGTATCACATTTTAAACATTTTCTATCAATCTTATTTGTACTGACTGAGCTTAGTTATACACAAAAAAATTTTTTAATAAAAATAATAATAAGAATTTATCAAATACAAAAATTATAAGATGTGGTTATATTTATACAAAACAATGAGTTGCTCAATGACTCATGAATCTGTGACATTTGGATTGGTGTAGGTAAACCCATCAAATTGAGACTGGTCCATCGACTGAAGTATAGTTTTATCAACAGGTGTCAGTCTCGGTTTCTCTTTTGTGAAGTGCTTGTCAAAATAATGAGTATCCAAAGGATGATACTTAAGTAAATAAAAAAAACATTGTATTACACTTAAAGAAAACAATTTTTGACTGTCAAAAAATAATTATCATTGATACTTACGACTCTAGGCATATATGGAGGTTCTAACTCTCTTCTCTCCAATTTACACCAGTCCATTGAACTGAAAAATGGATGTCTGATCACATCCTCAGCTGAATGGTTTGCTTCCAAAGACCCCAATCGTTTAGCAGCATCTTTGTCTAGTAACTATATGTCCAAACAGTAACGCACTGAAATAACAGTTTGAAAACATGGAAAAATCTAGCCAAAGATAACTTACAGCTACCAGAATAGATTTAGAATCGACCGATAGGTATCTTGGATACTGAGGTTGTTCGTTGCATATAGACCAAAACAAGGCGTCCTCGTCACAACCACTGAATGGCGATTTGCCAACCAACATCTCGTACAGCAGAATGCCAAAAGACCACCAGTCTACACTTTGATTGTATTTCTGGCCTTTGATTATCTAAACAGTCAATCAAAGGTGAGAGTGTGCGATTGCCGATTGAAAGCTGTTATACCTACGACGCAATATGTACAAATAATGTTGTCGCAAATGTCTTACCTCTGGCGCCATATAATCGGGCGTGCCACAAAATGTATCTGCTGTTTTGTCCAAGTATATCTGAAGTTTGCACATTCCAAAATCAGCGATACGCACGTGACCGTTGAAGTCTAACAATATGTTGTCCAACTTCAAATCCCTGCGATTCAAGTATTATCATTAAAAAACAGCTAACACTTTTTAAGGGGATTGATATAGACAATTGTTGCGTATTAAAGCGACATCACACAAATGGGTATACTATTATAATGTCAATATAGTCAGTACTCAGTACACTCCTCTGGCCACTGGGTTCAATCAACCTCCCCCGCCTTCCCAAAATTATTTTAACACACATTATTGTCGATGTCTATGTCGACGACTTGGTAGGTACCCACCTGTAAACGATGCCCTTTTTGTGCAGGAACTTGAGACCTGACACTATTTCAGACGCGTAAAATCGAGATCGGCCTTCGTCGAACCGTCCTGACTGTTGGATGTGAAACATCAAATCGCCGCCATTCAGATACTCCATGACAAAGAACAAATGAGACTGTATGGAAAATTTGGTTTTTGTAATTATATAATTTGTATATAGGTACTTAGGTAGTTAGGTCAATTTTACACTAATAAACGATAAATAATGAATATTAATACAAAAATTATATTTTTTATTTTTAGTACCTACCTATCAAGTACCTGTTGTAAATATCTATATAATTTAATATTTATTGGCTAAAACGTTTTCAATTGTCTATTATACAGTGTAATAATTGTATTGTACCTACTTAATGACGAGGAGCGCCATTTTTAAGGCGACATTTTTAAAATTATTTCTTGTTTCTTGTCACGCTATATTAACTACAATTTATCTTCGTTTTGTTAAGAATTGGCAGGAGTTCAAAAAATAAACCCCAGAAAACTGCATTTCTACTATTTAGTTGAATTTATTGATTGACGTTCTGTAATGTTTTAATAATCATTTAAACCAGATTATTTTGTTGATTTGTGGAACAAATTATTTATTTAAAGACGACAGATTTAAATAATACCTATTGCAGTGAAGTATTAAGTACCTAATAAACTAATAATTAATAAATTATTTTTATTTACCTAGTTATAATACTTTGGACACGAACCACTGAAGTCTGAAATATCTTTACATTTGATTGACGGTTTTATTTTAATATTTTATCAATAACTCTAAGAAATTACACAAAACTCAGTGAACAATCACTTTTATTTATACATTTATCTTGTGCGTCTTAACGACTTAACCTACCAAAACCATAACTGGAGGGATTCCGAACTCACCATCCCCCATCCCGAAATTTTTAAGAGTAGAACAAGAGTTTTTATATTTTAAATGTAAAAATGATAAGTGCCCAGTATCCATATTAAGAAAATGTTGGACTCCCCCGAAATTTTTTTCCAGTATAGTCTTGAACATTAACTATATCAATAGACTATATGTCACTATTTCAGAGAACTACCGAGGTTTTTATTTCCTCTCTCTGGCCAATATGGAAAGTATCAAATTTGCGTTCAAGAGCACCATTGTTGGTGGTAGAATTAATATTAAAGTGAATTGAACTATTATTAAATATTTTTTTTTTACATATTTATAATTTATTAAACTTAATGTTAAGAACATTATTTGTGTTATTAGGTTGGCTGTAAACTTTAATATGATATTTCAATTTTTCTAACCTATATAATATGAGCACTTAAATTGTATTATTTTACAAACTCAAAACTTGCAAGTACAAATTGAAAAATTGTAAAAACTAACTCGAAATTACACAGATACTGTTCCTAACTTTAAGTCTGATAATTCACTCTTGAATCTTGATATTAAAGCGAAAAATTGAAAACCCAATTTTTGTTATACTGAAAATATTGCCATGTTGCACACGGGTCTGAAAGGGATAACAAATAGTGAACTGACATCCTCTTAATATAATATTATTTATAAATTATTATAGGTTTATTATGTTATATTATATTATACCTATTAGGCAATATTATTAGCCAATAGCCATACATTTAAATGACAGTCTTATAATGTATTTGATTTTCACACATTTACACCAAAACAATAATTCAATAATAGTATTGTCTTAATATTTAAAGTATGATGTACCCACCTCGGTCTGAAAGGTGCAAAACAAATGACACAAGTAAGGATGGTTTGTTCCTAGTGCGAGGACTTTGCGTTCGATAAGTGTACATTCGACATCGTCATCCTCGAGCACCACGTCTTTTTTCAGGCATTTGACCGCATAATAGTAATCGGTACCTTTGAGTTCGGCCAGTAATACCTAAATGACAGATATTACGTGTACCTATACGAAAATATCAGTACCTGCAGTGTAGGTATATCAATTAATATTTTGGTATTACTTTTTGTTTTTTTACGGTGGATTATCTGTAATAATTACCACTACAACAGCAAATTCATCAAACATTATACAAAATATAACTAAACTACGTTAAATACACTCATAGGTATAATAGAACAAAGAAAAGGCCAGGTACATTTTGACCATGTGCGCCCACATATAGTGTAGTACCCACGGAGTGAGTACCCATGGCATCCCCGGACCTTTCACCCATGGCTCTAATTATTAAATTATTAAATCCCAACGGATTGGTTAGTTTTCGATACTTTTTCGTTTGTGATGTGAATAATTTTATTATACTTTATTCTTAAGTATTTAATTTTTGAAGCTTGAAGTTCTACAAATATAGAAGCTGAATGTCAAAAGCGCCAAGCTAATGATAAATTAGCATTAGTGAAAGTTGCCAATGACCCGAAACTACAAAAACTTTGTTTTTCTATCAAAAAGGGACGTGTTGAAGTTGTTCACTGAAAATTTGAATAATTACTCGAATAATGGCATGTTACCAATTATTTTTATACCTAGTTAATTTTTATTGTTTTAAACATAACTTAGTTTACCTATGCATACACTTATTTTTATTTAGACAAAGTTTTTAACCAATTTTCACTCTAAGCATTATAATCAAGGTTGAAAAAAATTGTTTGTGCGCCACCACCCCCGGAACCAAAAGTCTTCGCATGCCTATGATTATGATCTAAGATCAAAATTAAAATCGATTTCGGATTTAAAATTTCCCAATCTCATCGAAATAGATAAGATTATTATTATCTAAATTTTCTTTTAAGCATATCACCTACATTTCAATGCCCCCAACTTTAAAAATGTAAGCTTTTGACAAAATTAAATGTTTGTTACAAAAATATGTACCTACCAAGTCCCATTGTTTGTGAACAAAACTTGTAGACCTATTTCAAAAACAAAATGGGGAGGCGTAAATAATGAATAAAACACCATTTTTTGAAATTGAGTATGATTATTTTATTGGTTTTTATAGTTGTTAAACTTGTAGTACCTACCTACTTAGTTATTTATTCATAATTCACCTATAGATGCAATTTATACAAACATTTGTTTTTGGTTTGAGCTACGCATAACCCTAGATTTTTAAATTGTATAGGTATAGGTTTTCAACCTTACCTTTTAGACTTTTAGTAAGATTTTGCGCATTTCCACCCTAAAATTTCTCCCATGACTACAATAATATCGATTCTTGGCGATATCTTTCTGTCGTCTTCTAAAGCTTTTATATTTTTCACGCGTTCTCACTTCCCGGATCAAAATCGACAACAAATACCTATTGTCGCAAACGCACTCTATTTTTTTTTTCAATAAGACGGTGTTCGTTTAAAACTCATAATATTATAAGTAAGTAGGCCGTTGATATGGCGAGGCATAACAAGAAACATCACGTGATAATATATTTTATGATTTATTACGTCGCTCCATACCTTTCCAAAGCTGCCTTTGCCAAGCACTTTCAAGAAGTTAAAGTCGTCGACTGCATACTTTCGGAACCGCGGTATGCTGGTGGCCGGCGGCACAACACGTTTAGGCCTCGAATGGTGCCGATAACTGTAGGAACGAAGCGATCGTTCAGCCCCTTCTGCATTTCCAGCACCGCCGCCGATCTGGTACGAATTTGTCGCTGCGTCCGACGACGACGACGACGAGTCTAAATCAACAAGTGACGCAACAAAAACAATAACAGTGCAACGTTAGCCGACATTTCTCATAATATTATGACGAATAATATAATATTCTAAATACTATTTCGTACCAAAAACGTTAGGTTAAAACGACTATTGCGGTGTTACGTGTATGTGTATCATATTAAACTGATAATATTATTATATAAGTAGTATTACAGAAGCCTCGTCGTTATGCTTGAATTCCACCCCCACACCCCCCACACAGTTACTATATTTTAAGTACCAAGTGCTCGGTGTGAGTAAAACGAAGATTTATTTGAGACGTCCACGAAAGTTTATATAATGGGCGGTTTTGACAATTTATTATTGTTATTTATAGAATAATATACATCATGATCATAGAACCGTTCTAGAAGAACTCAAAATATAGCTAAGGTTATTAAAATTGCTAATTGCAGTATGATACAAACCCAAATTAATTACATAATATATTTTTTGAAATTTAGTATTTAGGTAGTATTTGTAAAATACGTTGCGAAAAATAAACTGTAATTACCTACCGGGAGTAAATTTACAATTTATCCAGAATTGTATGAGCATTGAGCAGATATTATAAGAAAGTATTATCTATATTATCATACACCTATTAATATACAATATTGTGATTGTCACACAGATTTTTGTAAGATTAACTAGGGTGATAATTATAGTTTAAAGTGGCCCGCCAAGACAAACAGTTTGAGCACATTATATCAACTTACAATAATTAGTACAGTTTTTTAAAATTTATTTATAACATTTTGGATTTTTTTTCGTTGGAAATCCTTTAAGAAAATAAATTTGTCTGATTTTTAATTAAAGCATTCAAAAGAAACGAATCAATATAATATGATATATTTAAAAATTCAGATATTAAGGATAGTAACCACTGTACGTCTGTACTAAAGCATTAGGTAGGTACTAATTTTATCTTAAACATCACGATCTTATAGTATATTGTGCTTCAAGTATATATTTTCTGAAAGTCGTAAAAATTAAGACGAACATTTTTGCCTAAGTTAATTTGCTTATAGTTGGTATAATACCTACGTCCTACACTCCTACATTCTATACATACCTAGTTGATAGGTACAGAAAGTATTAGATAAATATTTTTAAAATAAGCGTGTTATTTTTAGGTGAAAATTGCAACTTTATAAGAACACGGAAACTCGAGCAAAACACGAAGGTGCACATCTAAAACAATTTTTATATTTATAACACACAGAATAGCGTCGAGACTCGAGAGGACAAATGCCAAAAAAAAATATCAACGCCCTCAACGACGTCGGCACTGATTTCGGAACAATTTATGACACTATCCTTCCGCCATAGACCATTGCACGATATTGTGTATAAATAAGTTATTTTCACGGATTATTAGAGTCCAGCAGTCTAGTTTGGTAGTACATCAACGAACACACACGTTTGTGTTTGTATTGAACACGATTGTTTTTGTTTAGGCTGTGACACAAAATACTAATAGTAATAGTAATAATCACATAATAATATACAACGGCGTGCAATATATCACAAGACACAAACTCACGATTAAAAAAAAAAAAACAACTAAAGTTATAGTATATTTTTAAAAAAAAACATACAAACAAACAAAACCCATTAGTAATTTAACACTACATAAATTTGTTCTGACATTTATTTCTAGTTTTGAAAATGTTATTATGATAAAGAATGGAAGTAGCCAGTAGGTACCTAAATCTATACACAATGATTTTTGAACGTAAGATGACATTATCCCTGGGGACCATATACATTGGTATGGGGAAAACTATTCAGGGTTTTTGAAATAAGGAGAGTCTTGCGATGAAAGAATCGCCCTGTATATATTATTATACATGAAATGAAACTAGCACAGTGATAATATGTAATATATTTTTGTAAGTTGCAACTGCTTATATACGGCGAATGAAAAGTGAGCATGCTTCTGTGGTTCGAGAATACGCGGACAAGAGAGGTGCAAAGAAAAACACCGACAAATCTATCAATTTTCACCTCGCAGGGAAAATTATAACATAAGATATATAGATTATTACTATAGGTATCTGGTTGGGGTTACCTCGTTTAAGCGTAGCTAGTGCTTCGACTACCAACTTTTGATTGACGCCGCATAGGTTTGGCATCAGCTTCTCGCATTTCCTATGGCAGTTGACGTCACAATCTAATGCACAACACACGCACAACCCCCCCACAGACGACCCTCTCCAATATTATAGATCAATCGGTATATCAAAAAAATTAAATTTAAACACAGTCCTACGTATTATTATATCGTATAACACAGTATACCACTTTGAAGATTGACTGTTTTAGCATCGACATAACATAAATTATTTATAATATTATAAATATATTTTATACATCATACAATATACTTTAAGGCGGTGGGCTTTTCACCCGGTGGCTAGCTCGTTTTATATAGATATATGAGGTTACAATACGTGCGGTTTAGGTAAGCGCATTTGCGGAAGAAAACCAAACAAATAAAAACATGCATGCGTCAACTACCTATAATAATACGCCTATAGTATAGGTAGTAACAGTGTTTTAAAGTATTTGAATAAATGTATTTGAATGTTTTTATCATCAAGTATTTAAATTGTATTTAAGACTGACACATTGATTATTGTCTTCGGGTGAGACTTTTTTTTTTTTTTTTTGGTAATAATCCGGTGTAGGTAACATCGCGATTACAAATTACAATTGAACATTCAATCATCGTTTGTATAATGTTGAAAGGACAAAATGTGTTATTCCATAGAAATATTGTCGGATAAATATTTCGAATGAATAATATAATCAATTAAAACAGTGTAACAATGACTACCTACCTAAATCAAAAAAAAAAAAATAATAATAATAATAATAATATACTAATAAGCAAACCGAATTTATTTCTTTTACTTTGGGTATTATTGAAATACACCGACAAAAATAGTATTCGATAAGTATTTTAAATACATTTTCAAATTGTCCTTTACAACACTGAGTACTGGGTATAAAGTAGTAGTAGTAGTAGATATGTACTATTATTATATTATGCGGTGTTAGTGTTGTTGTATTTCTACCTATGGGATCTGGTGCGGGTACGGGCGAGGATGGCAAACCAGAATCGAACGAAGAATTACTGCATGCAACTCTTTTGTCACCGTAATCGTCCGAGTCGTAGAACGTGCTGCCACTGGTGCCGCTGCACAACGACGTCGACGAAGAGTCATCCTCATCGGACGATTCGTCCTCGCCGGAAGACGATCCGCTGTCGGCGGCGGGTGGCGTTATCGGGGCCGGCGGTGGCGGCGGCGCTGGAGGCGTTTCCAGTTTGATTTTGGGCTTTGGCTTTTCGAACTTACTCTTCGTGCTGCTCACTTGTGACGGCGATATGAACGTCTTGCCAAAGGACGCGCGCACAAACGGCGTAATCACAGCGGGCGTTGCAACTGCAGCGTTCGAGGAACTGCCTTTTTTTGGCGGCGAAGGTGTCTTTTTCTTCTGCAACCCCTGCTTGTCCTGCTGGTTTTCGGCTAGCTCCTCTTTTTCCTCCGCCTCCTCCTCCTTTTTCTTCTTTTTACTACCTTCTTGACGATTATTTTCTTCTTCACTACTTTCGTCTTCTTCGGCGGCACGCCAACTGCACCACCTTCCGAATTATCATTATTACTCTGATTTTTATTAATTACAGTTTTTGCATGCTTTTTGTTGCTGTTGTTTTTTTTGTCGCGTTCATTATCGTTATCATGCGATTTTCTGATGACTACGTTATGGTTAGCGTCGAGCTTACCGTTATCACTGCTTCGACTGTCACTCTCTTTTTTCGTCTTATTGTTCAGCTTGAACGTAAAACTTACCGGTTCAATGCCGCTTTCCTCGATGATCACGTCGTAGTTCAACTTCCAGTTGGTGCCGGCGGTCTTGTTCTTTGTCAGTTTGTCAGCGTGTTCTCCATAAACCATGGCCGCTGCCACCGATTTTTTCCGCGTTTCCCTGGTCCTATGTGGCTGTTTTCCACCCCCAGCGCCACCACCACCACCACCACCACCACCCCCCATTTCCACTGGGTAGCTCTTGCGCCGTACCCTCGTCTGCTGCCCTTCCATTTCCTCCATGATCATCGTGTCAAAGAGCGCCTCCTGCTCGCGCAATATCTCGTCGGTGACGGACGGCCGGCGATCATCGTTAACGGGCACTTTGACGCCCGCGGACGTGTGCCGCTTTATGGTGCCCTTTTTCGCCAGGCCTTCCTCCAACTGCAGCTCCGAGCCCGCGGTGCAGCGCGCCGACGGCTCGGTGTCCGCGACGGTGACCGTCGGTACCGTCTGGTTCTCGACCGGTTTTTCTGACCTCTTGCAGTTGTTTTTGTTGGTGTGCAACCGGACCACCGTGCGGCCACGGTGTATGACGCTGCCACCACCGACGCCGCCGGCTACATCGTCCGCCGCCGTATCCGTCGCGGTCGTCCGCCGCGGCCGCCGTGGCGACGTCACGTCGATTTCCGAAGCGTTCACGTGCACCGGTCGGGCGTAGTGTCGGGCGGCCACCGCGCCCGGGCCTCTACGTATGGCCCTCAGTGTCTGTTCGACCACCATCGAGTTGTAGTTGCTACGGACCGCGTGCGCCCGGAACGCCGACCGGCCGCCGGGGTTCGACCCGGGGTAGGGCAGCAGCTGACTGTAATATTGCGACGAGAACGGAGCCGACCCGTGCAAGTAATTGCCGTAGTCGGAAAAAAACGGCATCGTGCAAATTGTGCAAATAATTAGTATACGCTAAGTTCTAATCAAAAATGCATTATTACGATTAGTCGTCATATGGGTTGTACTGACCGAATTAGTTACGGGCTTTGATGATTTTCAAAAATAATAACAAGCACATTTTGAACACGATACTGATGCGACATTAATGCGCGCTGAAGACTACGGGCGCTTCCCGACCGAACGAACGGCTGAGCTGATGTCTTGGCACGTTTGGCAAGCTCCGAAAGCGAATTAAACGGCTTGGACGACTGCCAAAAGAAATTTAAAACACGAAATGCTTACACACAAACATATTTCTGAAATGACAAAAATTAGTTTCAATATACCTTACTCGTCTTCTTGTATAACAATTTATGTATTTCAAATCTTACATTCGTTTTCGTTCCAAAATTGGTGAGTGGGTTTTTTTTCCAAAATACTTCCTCTTAAGGCTAATGTATTATTATTTTTTTTTTTATCAATATTAAATTTGTTTAAGTAGCTTTAAAACTTATTCATGGACAACGGCAAACTCAATCACTTAGAAACTTAAAATTAAACTTGTCATTCAGCACACGTCAACGGCTTAAAGAATATTTGAGAAAAAATTAATGGAACATTGCACCGTGCAAAAATAGTTATAGTCTCACCTAGTTTACGTCAAGGTCGACTTACGTGTAGACATAGAAATTTAGCTTTTTAGAACACTAAACATTATGTGTTCACATCATACTTAAAAAAGGATCATTACAAGTACTCAATTGTAAATGTAAATTACCCGAAAATTTACACCCACGTTATAAACTATACCAAGGTCAAAAATCAATAGTACTATGAAAAAAAATTATCATTGCCAAACATTATTGCAAGATTTAAGTATAGCATTTTTTGCCAAAGCGCCCACCTGAAAACACCAGATTGTCTAAAAAGCGGACCAAACATAATAAAATGGATACTTATTAATACATACGACATTTTTGATAGATTAAATTTGGCAACTGCGATAAACTGTGGCACAAACTACGTAGTGCACATGATAGTGTGCTTATATTTCAATAACTTATTAAAGTTCAATTTTTGATTAAACTCAATAAAAATTTTAAATTATCTAAATTTGGATTTTTAAATATTAAAGCTCCATGAAATAGGTACCTGCATTCAAATACTAAATATTATACTTAGGTATTTACATAAGTAAGAACTAATTCAAAAAATGTAACCAGGAACATGTTATTATTGTATTAAGACTGATTAAGTATACAATACGATTTTGTCCATTGCACACAAAATACTTTTAAATTCGTTTACCTAAACAATGTGAACTTTGAAAGTTGGCCATAAAGAATGTTAGTTTATGCCAAATGCCATATAGACTTAAAAAAAAAATAGAGTAATGTCAGATTTATGCTACGGTGAATTGACAGATTGGGTATCTTCCAATAAGCATGATAGTTATACATCCCAGTGCAAAATATGTCAGAAGATTGTGATTAAAAAACGATTGTATTTTTTGTTTGAAATCATCATATATAATCTTTAATCGACATGCAATGCGTGTGGTATAAACTATAAAGTGCAGGATAGCTTTTGAAAAAATTAAGTTTTGGCGAAACGTCAAGCTAAAAATGACTTAGTCCGGATTGATTATAAAAACATTTTCTTGGCACATCGGAACGCGGACTGTTTTCGCAATTATATTTCTAGTGATAATCAACAACAATAATACTAACTCTCGTAGTGTTTATTTACATAGGCAACACATTGAACCATGTCGTAAAATATTTCCTTATCCGTTGATTTATTTCGAAACTATAAACATAAATGGGTTTGACTTTATAATTGTTATAATGCATAATATTATGTAAAATATATCCATATGAACTTGGTTTTTGATTGGATATTTGCCACGAAAAAAACCTCATACCTACAGCGACATCTTTCCCACGAATTGAGCTAGCCACTAGATGAATAATAAATGTTACAATAAACCAAACATATGTTTTAAATCGTGTGTTTTACTCATAATAACGTATGGAACTGTGTTTACGAATATAAATAAGTCTTACCTTCGCATTTTAGACCTTGTTTGAATAACCCGTACAAAAGTGAACCACAGTGATCACAAAATGTTGGTGACATGAAGTTATATCCTTTGAAGCGATGAGGTACATCTATTTTGAACCGTTCTCTTAAATACTGTAAAGCAATATAAATTAAAATTAACTATTATAGAAAAAAATACATAGCTTATTGATTTAAATTGAATACAGACGTACAGTATAAAACAAACTTAATTAAACATAATAATTGCAATTTTTACACGGTAAAACAGTAGATATACTGAATCATAAAATATATTTTACAAAATCTTACATAAAATGTTTTATCTTAAATTTTAAAATTATTAAAAATACACTTGCATCAGAAATATTAGGTATATAGTTACAAATTGGAGCTGCATTAATTTGAATAAGTTAGTAATAATTTAAGGAATATGTATAATCTAATACTAAATAGTTAATAGAATTCACTACTTTACTACTATATGATATTATGTATCAATAAATTGTCATACTATACGAGTATAATTGTATTTATGTATAATTAATTATAAGTAAATTTATGGTTTATCTAATTCTTATCAAAAATAATTTTCACGAAAAAGTATTTAATCTTGAATGATTTATAGTGTACCTACAAATTATATAATGCATGCTGAGCACCGTGAAGGTAATTAAATAATATTACTTAATTAAATAATATATACTAGTAGTATTCCCAAATCATTCATAACATGTTCGCATATTAAACTATTGTTAGGTATATTGGTACTTAAATGTTAAACTATTAGAGTACCTACCTAAGAAACTAGATAATATACCGAGTAGGTACCATATATGAGTAATTAAACTACCCATCTGAAAGTATTTGTCTTATTAGTTATTTTCCACCTTATAAATTATCTATACATATATTTACACTATTTTACTATAGATCCCAATCAAGTTATATCCGACATTTTAATAATCATTGTCAGTACTTATTATAAATTATTACTTACTACTTACATTCATAATTACTTAGAGCCTAGAGGGAATGTAATTAAATTACAATCCCTCCCAATTTTCACCATATTATGTTTCTAAAATGTTCGAATCTCTAGCTTTAAATGTTACGAGAACGCTACACTTGCACCGACATATTTTGTTGTCTTATACAAGTGCGTAACATAACAAATTTCAAGCTCAACAGATCACGTTTAGCTCATAGGTGGAAATTTGGGGGAGCTAAGCCCCTCAAAACGTACAAACAGAAAAATTAGCCCTCTCAAACGCATAGTATAAGTAAAATATTAACTTTCAATTCAAATATTGTTGTAACACAAACAAAAAAAAAATCTTGGAAAAAATATCTGGTGTGTTCGTATTTCTGATTCCATTACCAAAGTCCATAGAGTAATAAAATATAAAGTATCACAGCCAGTTTAATCTGGTGCTATGGCCACAGAATATAATTATAATATTATGTTATTATGTAATTGTAAATTTAAAGAAAAGGTTTTCAACTGATAGTCTTCAAATGGCTGAAGCTGTAGACAATTTCATCAAATTTGATTTTAAAAAGAGTGAATTGTTTATTAATCATTATAAGGTAATTTTAGTTGAAAAACTTGTTATCAAAATTGAATATTACTGAATTTATTAATTTCTGAGAACTGTGGGTTTAAAATAAAATTTTTACAATTTATTTATTTTATATATTGTAAGCTATTCTTATTATGCAATTACTATATGAAAGATAATTGTTTATTGTCTAGGAGCTATTGATGTAAAAAGTATAAGTGTTCAATCAGAAATGTGTGTTGTGAAAAACTATAAACATTTTTCAACGGGAAAAAGCAGTATTAGTTTAAAAGATTTGACTTCAGTACTTTCTAAAGATATCTATCCAAACATATAATATAATCTTATGCAGTAGCAAGACGTGTGGTTTTTGGTTGGGGAGACACTGAAAAAAAATGGCACTAATATCCCATTTTTATTTTATTTATATAGTAAAAATAAATGTTCAAAAACTAAAAACGAACTGAAATATTATATTAAAAAAATTAGAAACGTTACAACTTAATTAAAATATGATAATTTAATATAATAATAAATCCAAATGTACACATTTATTTTCGTATGAGAAGTTAATAATAATAGGTACCATCGTTAAAAATGGCATTAATTAAATCATCAGCCCATGGCCCGCGAGGACAAATTACAATATAAAACAATAAATATTAAGAAACACGTACGACGTATATCTATCACGATAGCGTGACAATGCGACAGCGACGTCGATAATAAATATTAAGAACTGAGGTAATTACGAACGGTGAGACGCGTCTCACAGAGTACTAGTAAATCCCACTCACATTAGCATCCCCCCTGTACCCACGCACCCATATTTGAGAGACGTTGGGTTGCAACGTTTTTTAGATTTAGATTTAATACCATATTTGGAATGACGCGTATCGCCGCTCTACGCACGGCCATATCGCGAAGTTCTAATATATTTTAAAAATTCTATAAATCATAAATGTACAACACTAGGTACAACGAAAAACCGATTTTAACAAATACTGAAACATACATCATATATTTTATAATATAAAATAAAATTCATATTTTTAAATATTTTATAAAACAAAATAATAATTATTTATTTGTCCCGTGTTCTAATTTCTAAGTGGGGAGACGTTGTCTCTTTGTATCCTATGACGCTTCGCCACTGATCGTACGCAAGTTTCACTCACTTTCCCAGTTTCCCCATAAGTTCATGTGAACATAGTTTTTCAGCAATGAGGAGAATAAAAACATGATTGAGGTCATCTATATTGCAAAATAGATTCAACAATTTAGCTATCATTAGTATAGAAAATGATATTTCCAAAACAATTGATAGAGAAATCATACTGGATCCATTAATTTTTGCAAACAATATATAGATATTATAGATATATTATTTTAAAATAAATACTTTAATATAATAACTAGATAACAAGGTTGTTACTGTAAATAAATAGTTGTTAATAATTTTGTTTTTCTTTAAAATTTGTATAACTTATATTATCTTTCTGATATATTTAAAGTTTAAAATTCAAGTATATGTATGAGTAAATGTATAACACCTATAGTATGTTTAAAATAAATCATGCTTAGTTTTGCATGGTGTTTAAGGTAATATTATATTTTCAAGTGGCTTTGATATGCAATAAAGTATTTTTAAATATTAGCCCCCACTAAAATTATGGCAAATTTCCGCCTATGGTTTAGCCCCGTTAATTTAAAAGTTAGAGTGAATTGACCCCTTAAAAAAATTAAAGGTAAAATTATTATCTGGCAATGTCATAGGGTTTTATTATATTTTAATTTTAAATCGAGCTATGCCTATTGTAAACTGTTTGTACGTCTTAAACATAACTCAACAAATGTCAATGTTAAGTCCTCTTAACCTGGTTAGATAAACCATATGTCATAGGCACGGATCCAGAGCAAAGATATGGGAGGGGAATTTAAATTTGAATCAAAGTCCACAGATATGTATAATATAATATAATATAATAATTATTATGCATATTATCTGTAACTGGAGTATAGTAATATCAAGATCTATAGAATTATAAAAAAATTGGAAAAATAATATGTTTAAATGGGCGGGGTCCTTAGCCCCCTTCCCTGGTCTGTCCCTGTAATATTTTAATTGTATCCTTAATCCTTATGTAGAAGCAGCATGGTTTTCGGCTTCAGCGTTTTACTAGGTTCCACTGTTTGTACTCTACTATAATAATCTCATGTTTAACAACTATATTTTTGATAAATATAGTTGAATTTATGATTTATTATCAGTCTCTTGTAACAGTTGTAGGTGTAATATTTAGGTAGGTACTAAACCTAACTATAACCCTAGATCTTAATCCTTTTTATCCTCAACCCTTGTTTTTTATGTGTCTAGTATAGGCGAGCCTCTTATATTTTAGTTTAGGCCCTATTTTAGACCTGTCTTACTAGGTACTAGATAATGGTGTAGTCGTATGGAAAAATCTTTCCTTAGATTTTGAACAGTAGCAAAAAATAATGTCCCATTATACCATCCTTTTTTTTGTGGTTCTGGGGAAAATTAACAACCCTATCCCCTCTCACCTTAAGTATTTAAACCACTGGCTTTAATTGCTTTAAAGTTTAAATTACCTAATGCATTCATATAAATCATTTTTTCATGTTATTTTGTTTTCATTATTATTTTATATTTTGTACTTTCAAATCAGGGCCCCCAAAACTTTTTTTTACTGCTAACATGCATAGCAACATACAATAATATACATAGGTATAATATTATTTACTATGCAAAGTGAAATTTTCAAAATATTTAAACTAACTTTAAGCAATTTATTATTTAAAATATTCTATTTACACCATTCTATACGGTACATCGGTGTTACTAACAAATTATAATTTAAAACTAATAAAAATATTATATATAATTAAGTACCTATATTATGAGGATATAATTCTATGATAATAAATAATCAGTATAGGAAATTTTGTCAATAAAGAATTCAAATTCTACCTAACCATATCAGTATAATGTAATATTATTAATAAAAAATACTTTTCTTATAATAAAATTAACATAGGTGTCAGTGACGTAGCCAGGGGGGGAGGTCTTTAACCACTCGATATTTCATGTAGCGATTTTCTTATTTTGATGTAATTCAAAACAAATAAATGTAAATAAATGAAAATTTGACTGAATATTTATATTTTCATTTTCTATACACCATAACATTTACAAAATATTTTGACTTGTTTTATGAAGTCATTTTCAATTTTTTTCGTTTTTTTTCTATAAATGTCAATAATATTGTATGTCGTTTTTCGTATACAATGATATTATATCATTGAATTAAAAATTAATACCATCCATTATGTATAGTGACCCACTTGTAACCTACTGTACAGCAGAGCGACATCGACTTGCCCACCTTTTTTTAGTTTTTTATTTCCAAAATTGTTATATGTTCTATGCATTTTTCAAAAATAATATAAAAATTAAGCTGCAATTTAGCTGCAATATTGACAATGTCGACTGCATATTTCGATCATTTTTAGTGCATTAAGTCCCGAACCCTAAATGTATTTATACACGGAAGTCGGAAACAGTAAAAACTTGGTTTAATTTATACTGAACCGTCTGAACCCTCCCCCCATTTCATAATCCTGGCTATGCCACTGATGGGTGCTATAAAATATAATTTTAATGATAAAAACAAAGAAGCTGACCACCGCTCAGAATCATTTTTTTTTTTTAGGAATATAATGATTTATAATTTCATTCGAATTTAACACAGACATTAAATTGACACAATGACAAGATACGCTCAAAATCACTAAGTCGCCTCACCAAAGAAATATATACATTACCACCACTTATGTATTATGGTCATTGGTCACTATAGGTAACACGCAACGACATACGTACGATAAGTGCTAAAATTTATATTATAATATAATTTTAATATATTTATATTTTATATACAGTAAAATTAAAAATTGCGTAATTTTATAAACAACTAACAAGTAAACAACATTTATTTCGACAGTTTTAAACAAGGTACATAAAACATTCTAGATTGCATTTACACAAATTTGTGTAATTTAACTTATCACCAAATTTAAAATTGAAACAATAGGATTATATAGGAAGTAGGTATACAAAGACTTGAAAAAAGGAAATATTACCTTTGTACATGTTTTTCTATTGACAGTGGTGTCGTATATTTAATAAAATAAAAATAATAATATATAAATAAAAAAAAATGTATAAAATAATATAATAAAATTCGTAATATATGATTATACCAACTGATCCCGCGCCCTTCGGTGCCCTTAAAAAATTACAACTCTTAATAAATTTGTGATTGTTCAACTCCTTTTGGGTGTAACTCGTTGTAAGTGCAACTCAGCCACCCTGATAGGCAATCTGACTACGTCGGATCTCAGACAATATGCGACAGCATATCAAGTATAGGCAATCCACCTGCTGTGGATTGCGGACACGCCGATGAGCGGCTATAAGTGCAACTCAGCCACCTTGGTAGGCAATATGCAAAAATTCGATTCGATGCGTGCTTGTATCTGATCTACACGAATAACCAATGGCAACCAATATACAAAAAAATACTAATTTCTACTTTTACTATTATAATCTGTAACCAATGATTACAACCATTTACAAATAAATAAAAAGTTTCAAATTCCACTGTGAATCTCAAATTCATCGTTTGAGCATCTCTAATTTACCCTTTTTCGTGATAAAAGCTATAGCCTATGTCCTTCTCCCAGGTCTAATCTATCTCTCAACCTCTGTAACAAATGCCATTTAAATCGGTATTCGGTTCATCGGTTTAGGCGTAAATGCGTAACAGACATACAGACAGACTCTCGCATTCTATATATATAATTACACATTTACACCACGGCATTTCTATCTAATTGTGTTAAAATACGTAGCTTATTGACGCTTCCTGAACTGTTTTATTACCTATGTAATTTCGCATTTATCCACAATTACATTTTTTAAATATTTTTATTGTATACAAGAATTCCATTGTATGTTTGTAATATTCTGTACATGATTCATATTGATGATTAAACTACATTTTTTTTCGATTTTAGATTCTGAACAATGAATGTATAAAATTTACAATGTGGTGTTTTTCTTAAAAAAATGTTAATTATAATAAATAGACGACATAAAGATACTTTGAAATTTTAATTATTTTTTATCTAGATAAGATAAAAAGCTAAATTAATACATTCCACTGGCACCACACAAGTTTTCCAAAACACAACTTCAACAATTAAGTTACAATAGTGTTACAACACTATCTGTCAATCGACATTCAACTGCCCCATCTATCCTTATCTCGTACCTGGTCTTACATAATATCATTATAATATTTAAAATAAATTAACATACAAATTACAAATTTAATTTTAATTTATTACACTTCTTGTATTTCGGTCTTTACTCCTTAGGACAGCGGTTCCCAACCTTTTTGAGACTATTACCCATAAGTCAGGTTAGATATTAACATATACCCCCGACCCAAAAAAAAAGTTGAGTAAAAAAAAAAAAAAAATAATTCCAGGAAATTCAATATAATGTAATATTCTAAGACTAAGTATTATTTGAAAATAATAAAATTATCAGTGTCATTATGACATAAGATAAGGTATTTCCCAAAACTATTAACAACAATATTATATTAATATATTATTACAATTTCATTTACAGTCATAACACACATGAGTAAATGGATAATAAGTACTTAAAATACAAGTTTAACTTTTACCCCCCAAAAAATCGTGTTTTTACCCCTTAGGGGGTAATTACCCCCAGGTTGGGAACCGCTGCCTTAGGACTATCTTAGATAATATCTATAAGATTTATGATCTAAGAGATGATAAGTGCCATTTTCAACTCACAATTTTTTTACGTAAATTATGTCCTGTCGGAACTTTTATTATATACCTAATTTTTAGTGCTTCCTAAATTATCTAAAATTTAAGCCAATTAAAGTTTATGTTTAAATATGCAAATTACAGGTTCTTTAGTTTTTAAGTTTTAAAAAGTATTATAATTGATGCTTGATTCAAAATCTAAATTATAGCTTTATAATAATATACTTTATAGTTTATAATTTATGTACAAATGTTGAGAATAATTATTGAACTACTCATCGAACAAAACAACTAGCTGATTAATGATTAACATAAGAACTAAGAATTATGTAATTTAGAAAAAGTCTCGTGCATCGGGGAAACAAAAAAAGAGAACGCATTTCATTTACAGAGAATAAAATTACAAAGAAGACTATGTATACTCATCAGTTAATAAATATAAACAGAGATAAGTTTAGTTTAATTCATTTTAATTTTGGAAATTATTATTATTAGTGATATCTGATATTACCTATAGGTACCTTTTAAAAAAAAAAATATATTCAATCTGTTTACAAAATAAAAATAATTAGTTATAAGGATACTGGATAACATAGAAAAATATATACCAACATGAATCGAGTGAAGGAGATCGTCCATTAACAGAACCTCAGGGAATTTGTTTTCCCCTATAAGGAGATCTCTAGACCAATTTCTTTTTAATCGACTGGGAATTTGTGGTATAATGTAAGAGAGGACATGTTTTGAATGAAGGGGTTTATGCAGTTTGTTAATTTTGAATGGAAACTTTTATAGTGACTTTTTGCAAGCTTATTTAGAGTTTGTATTTTTTAGGTCATTATGGAGGTGATATTATACCGGTGATAAGTTTTAAGATGATTGACTGGAAAGCTTGAATAGGGCGAATATTTGCGGGTTTTGCAGGGCCCCAAATTTGGAAGCCGTATATGACCTACCTATATTTAAAAGAGGTTTTTTCTTTTGTATTTTAAGTGTTGGATAACTTAAGAGGACGTTACACGGCCATTTGTTGTCTTCGTCTTACAATTGAATAACATATTAACAAATTTACACTCAGCAGAACGCGTTTAGCTCCGTAAGTTAAAAAAATTAGAGTGAATCGACCTGTTATGAAACTTGATGGTGTTTGTATGTAGGTTTTTACTATAGTTCAATTTTTTAGCAAGTTATGCATGTATAATATAGCGTACCTAAATTAAAAACCAATCAATGATATTATTAGGGCATTTAAATAATGAAACGTGTTTAGAGAAAAATATATTACAAATAAGTAATAACTATCTATTTTATTAAAATTACTAATTAGTAACAATTAATTTGTAAGAATATGCAAATTTTTATATTCTAGATATTTGTTTGATAAATAAACGATTAAAGTCTAAATGTATTTTATTGCTGATATTTAACAACCAGCTCAGCCATGTGTTATAGTGTTGATGTATTATGTTTATTACTTTGTTTTTTCATTAGTCATAGACCATAGTAATTTCATAAGTACGACAACATGGTCCACACGTGCTTAATGTAAATACGTCAACTAACGTCAACTTTTATAATATAAAAGATAGTTTTTACTTATTAGAATTTCTTTCTATTGGGATCATCTCTTAATAACAAAACTATCATCTTTTTATGATTTAACCATTTTACAAGACACCTACCTTTTGTAATATTTTAAAATTGTTCATTTAATTAATGTTTTCTAATTTTCTAACAAATGAATAACAATAGCCTATTTCATTTGTAGTTTGATTAACTCACCACTGTACTTTCTGTATCTCGCCCGGTGCCTGGACATTGTATAAGAAGTTTGTCGTGACATTTTTTATGTACAGCTGTTTGACAAGCTAAAAAAAAATTACTTGAATCAACAAAATATACTTAATCAAATACATTATTATTTATTTTACAGTTGGACAATTTATTAACTCTATTGAGACATAAAGTTAAACTATCATGATTATATACTATATGTCTATATATATTATATACAATGTATAAATGTTGGTGCTTACATTGACATTGATATCCTTGTTTTCCAAAACCCCTATAACATATTAAAATGACAAATGATCAATTTCTTAAAAGAATATTTGTATTCAGTTTTATATTTTACATACTATCTATAGGACATAGGTGTAAAGGTAAATCTTAGTTTCCATTTCTTACCATAGAAAATCTTTGCAAAATGCACAAAACGTCGGCTGTCTGAAAAATTTAGCTAAAAACTTATGCCCTTTTACGATGTGTACTTTTTGGTGTTTAATCGCACCACGTCTTTTAGTAATCGCATGGCCTCTAGCTATATCAACTCGTTGTTGTACTATAAAAAACACAAACAAAATGTATTCAAGTATTTTTTAAATGTATTAAAATACATAGGTACTAAAATAATGAATAGTTTAAAAAACTATTAGTTATTTCTAATAATCTTATATTTACCAAATACATACCTAGGTAATTATTGTTATAAACCAGATTTTTGGGTGAATACAAAATAATATAAAATGAAACATAAATATGTAAGTTTTTAAAATTCAAAATAATGTGTTATAATTGATGAATGTTTATTATTAAATTATACCTTATTTTATTTAATAAATACTTGTGACCGTGACATTTACTTCTGTCTGTTTTATTCCACACGACGTGCACAATGTTTATTGTTGCAACCAGTCTTGTATAAAGCAATATAACACAATACATTAATTATACTCAGACTCACAAGAGAACGGGCGCAATTGAATTGGCTCCCCAATACAAGTAGGTAGTCAATATTTTACCCTCAATGAGTATCTTTGAATTGGTTCCCAAAATGTTACTGTTGAATTGGCTATCTACCTTTTTTCAAAAATATATTGGTTACCAAAATGTTACTAATAATTTAAAGTTGACGACTTTACGTTATGTCCTAGACTCTAGAGTAGTCAGTCACACTCAAGGTAACCAAATAAGTTTAATATGATTAGTTTGAAATTTTTAACATAATATGGTTTACATCTTTACAATTTAGAGTTATATGTCTATTTTTTTTTTTACACAAAATTATTTAAAAAATAAGTATGGTACGAAAATCTCACTAGAATGGGGGGAAATAAAAGCTGTATTTACAATATTAAAAAAAATATAACACATGCAATTATTAAGCCGAACGCGTTGTATAGATAATACTCGTATATTACAATTCATCCAATATGATGTCCACACGATGATACGATATCCTCGTTAGCCAACACTTTTAAATTTGTATTACATCTTCGTTTAGTACATTTATATCGTTGTTATCCATTTTGGAGGAGTTTTTGAAATAAAAGTAGTGTATAGAAATCAATGATTATCTATATTGAAGTAGATTACGACGATTAGTACGATCAGATTCAGTTTGATAAATACATATAATAGTATATCCAAAGGTGGGCATTAACTAGTTAGTTCATTTTCTAATAGGCTAATGAACTTAACTTGACAGCTGATATAACTTGACTTTCCTCAGCTTATTAAAAAATAATCCATCAAGTTAAAATTTTTTTAAATTTTTCGTTTTTATGGTCATTTATACGTAAATATTAATACTAAAATAAAAACAATCCAATACTATAATTATTATAATACAAACATTTCTGTTATTTTTCTTAATAAAATAATTTTGTAAATAGATAGGTATATTTTAGTATATTATAATATATAGGCATTTAATATTATATTATGACCTTAAATTGCTATTTGATATAAAAGCATTAATATATGTTAAATTATTAATTGGGATGCGTTGGTATGGTTTAAATATTTAATAATCATGTGAAGTAAAATAGGTACATACACTGTACATTATGTTGAAAGTTCATTAAAATTGATTATTATAATTTAGGAAATTAAGAAGAACGTATAATCACCCTTTAAGAGATCCACCATCCACGTACTAATTAAAAATAGTAGATTACCTTTTTTAATCTGAGTTAAGTTAATATATTTTCCATATTAACTTTTAACTTATTGATCTTGTGTCCTCCTAACTTAACTTGAGTTAATTATTTTCATAAATTTGCCCACCTTTGAGTATATCCAGAGCTAAACTACTCTTGTCACATACCTACTCACATGAGTGTAAATTATTGCCAATGACGTCGTAGCTCGTAAAAGTAAAAGCATATAATATAATAAATTGTACAGTTTTGGGTGCCAATTTAAATTTCAAATATACATTTTTCGGGAACCAATTCAATGGTCGGCTTCATATTTACCCAAAATTGGGAGCCAATTTAATGGTTGCCAAGATAACGATCAGTTTTCGAGCATGTAGAGGGTAGACTGACAATTGACCACTAAAGGACCCTGAGTCCTGACTTAGTCACAGACAAACAGTATAATGTAATTAACAATTATTAATTTGTCATACCTAACTCAAAAGTATAATTAAAAAAAAAACCAACAGCTAATGGCCTAAGTTGCCGGGCTCAAACTCAATGTAAAAAAAAAAACTATAATTATTATTCATAAACATCCCGCATCCTATTAATCTCTTCAATATTATCAATATTTCCCATTCCGTTTGATTATATTAACGTGATTATAGGTAACAAAAAAAATTACGATAATTCCCGAATTTATAGATGAATACATTATAATTACGTGATATTTAAACGTAGCATAATATTATTCTACGGAAGACACAGTTCATGATCCAGTTGGATGTAATATTATAAATTATAATATAGTATTACTATGTAGTAGGTATAAATAGTATCAGATGAAAATTACCTACTTAAAATGAGCATCGTCCACAATTTCACATATTAAAAAAATAATTGTAAGAAATAATGTTAAAAACATACTTTTAATGTCTTTCAGTATCAAAAATATTCAAGACTACAGAAGTCTTAGTAACTATAGCTAGTTAATGTTGATATATTCAAATCCAAGAAACTTAATTATATGTTGTGTCAATAAAAATTGTAATATCTATTTTAAATTCTGATTGTACTAACTCTTCGACTCGTAAAATTAATTAATAATATTGTTTTAATTTATTCTCCTATATATAAGTTATTATAATACTAATGTCTATAGCATAGTGGATTGGCTATAGGTTTTGGCGTAATTCCTTAGGCTCTAGTCTATAAAATCGAGCCAATAAACAAATCCAGACATTCAGTAAAGTATTGGTAAACACAAAAATATTGAATTTAGTTATACCTATAAACTCTAAATACCATTAAATAGTAAATTACAATTTACAACGATAAACATTTATTTTTAATGTAAATAAGGCATATTAAAAACAATATTTGAATTTTAAATAAATATTTACTTTAATACATTAGATACAGAAATCACTTTTTATTTTATATAGTAGTACATTATAGTACCTACTGCACTTTCGTTGAAACTAACAAGCCGGAGAAATAAAATCTTTGTTTAATAAAAAATATATTAAGTTCCACTCAATATTCATTATATACTTACAGCTATCTGCTAAATCTCCATCAGCTAAATTGTAACTAGCAGGAGGTAACCCTTGTGGAATTTTACTTCGGCCTCTGCTCTATAAGTTAATCAAAAACATAATCATAATTAATCAAGGAATAACGTAATATTATATTTGAGACTTGAGTGTAAAATATACAATTATTTTATATCATAATAATTGTCATTAAATAAAAGCCTAATTGAAGTCGGAAGGTTTAAAATCTAATTGAGGAAGTGGTAACTTCATAGAAATTATTTATTGTTTTTATTTACATCCATTTTCCATATGCCCACAAAATATACTTAAATAGGAAGGTACCTTTAGCCTTTAAGCCTTTTAGGTAAACCTAAAATCTAAGCCTGTCTTATGTACCTATAGTTAAATAGATGTGTTGTTAAATGACTAAATTGTATACTATATAAAATCTACTTAAGGGGCCTGCTCGCGATTTTTCAAATTTTCCGCAATTCTATAAAATTTGAAAATTAAATTTTATATTTTAGTTGCCACCTCAATTATAAGACTTTTCCACTAATCTACTACCCAATACCTATTTAGGGGGGGGGGGTTGATAGGGTGTATTATATCGGTCAAAACACAGTTTACAGGAAAAACTCTCACACCTCGTAGATTGGTCCGATTTCCGTAATTTTTTTTTTGTTAGATAGAGGAATATTTTTTACAGGGCGCATTGGACTTCGATTTTTGATTACGTCGCTAAAAACAAAAAATAATACAAAAACTAAAAAGTTGTAAAAATTGATTAAATTCAAACTTGTAACATAAGACTTAGAAAAATAATGTTGAAAATCCAAGTCCAATGCGCCCTGTAAGAAGTCTTCCTCTATCTAACAAAAAAAAAATTACGGAAATCGGACCAATCTACGAGGCGTGAGAGTTTTTCCTGTAAGGCATGTTTTTGAGCAAAAAAACAGGTCGCGTGCAGGCCCCTTAAAGTAATGGTCTAATTAGTTATATATATAATATACAGGGTGTCCCGTGAGGATTTACTCATTGCGATATCTCCTGAAATAATGGAGATATCGTAATTATGTTTTTTTATTAAGACTCGCAGAGGTAAGCACTACAAGTATTTTATTTTTTAATTAAATTAAATTTTTTAGTAAAAAAGTTAAAAAAATTATTTTTTTATTTTTTTATTTTTGAAAAAATTGAAGATAGCCATTCCATAGAGTATATTTTTGTGAACATTTTGAGCTTTTAACATTTTATTTTCATTAATCTTATGATTTTTAATAATTTTTTTAGTTTATTAGTAAAACGTCAATAAACTGGTTTTTGTCCGGGCGGCGAGTCCCCCTCTACGGCTAATGAGTAAATCCTCACGGGACACCCTGTATAAGACACTACATAATCTATCACGAAAAAACAGAACTCGACTATTAAAATAAGTAGCCGATAATTCTACTAGATTTTTTTTATAAATTTATAGACTATAGTGCGCAACTGCAGCAGCGGGATAGAAGGATGGTATACTATAATATTTAAATGTTTAACTATTATAAATTATAAAATACGACCGAGACGAAAAAACAAACTTGAAAATGACTTGTTTGTGGGATAAAAAAAAAATGATTAATATCGCAATACGAATTTTTCTAAAAAAGAACGGAGCAAATGACGATGGGTCAACATTTCTTTTTTTTCATTCCATAAAGCCGAATTTTCCCGACACTCGGGCCAAATTTCGGATGTCTTCACGCAAACAGGTGTGATATAATCTGCTCGTAGGTAGCGGCAACTAGACTATTAAAGGCCGGTGTGCGCACTGCGCCCATATACTGCAGCACAATATAGGCGAAAATCATAATTCATAATATTATTATAATTTATAATATTTTATAGTAAGCGGTACTGGGGGGCGGTGCAGCGGGCGGCGTCCGTCGTTATTCGCGAACCGTAAGAAACGCTCGCGCATTTCAAACCTCTTGAAGGTAGGTCCCTTCTGAGTTCTGAGCCGTTTTTCGTTTATAATAACATGACACGTTCGACGGCGGCGGCGGCACCGCCACTGCATTATTATTGTGTAGTAACATACGTAGGAGCGGTGCCGAACAGTGGCGAAGTGGGCGCGGCAGTATATCCGTCCGTTCGTCTTCGTTCTATTTTCGTCCGCCGGCTCATCCGAGGATCGTCCGAATATTTTCATCGGCGGTGTGCGCGCCGCGTCGTCATATTATTATTATTATTATTATTATTATATATTAATATCATATTAATTTTTCACGTGAAATAATATAAAGTATAACGTATAACCAACATTACAATAAAATATGTGTCAAACGATAGGTCCGCCTGCAGTGCCCCAAAATCCACGGGGCAATGTCCCGGTAAAAAACCTCCTTAATGTGAGATTGGGGCCTCTGCCATCACAACAATTTTATACTTTGATCTAACTGATCGTGTAAAAATGTCATTTAAATATTTTTTTTTATTTTTTTTTACAGTAATCTGCAGTTTTGTGATTTTTAGCATTTATTGGCAACGTTTGAATTTCATAGTGTTCCGTGAACCTAGAAAGGAAATATATTTGTTTTTTACATGTGTCTCATATACGTTAACATTCAGTCCCTAAAAATGCAAACACCATTTACACCAATGCTATAGCAGCCACATAGTCCATCTGTGTCTGAGTGCCTACTGCCTAGGCTTATAGAGTCCTAGTTGCGACACTAGATGTGTCGGCAGCGGTGTTTCACAGATTTTTCATTATATTACATAAAATAATAGGTAACTATAGTGTTGCGGGTTATACAACTTATACAATTATGGTAAGTGGTAACCAATAAAAACAATATGAATTCGTGGTAGTGTATCTCCATACTATAGTATAACTCAACTATAATAGGCCTAAAGTCAAATGTTGTCACTGTAATGTCAGTCTATATATATACCTAATATAATATGTAAGTACGAATTTACTTCTGAAAACAATGCCTCGAAACAAACAAACAGTCTGCTTCGAACCTCTCGAAATGGTATAAAAATTTAAGACCTCATATGGACTTCATTACACAAGCACCATGCTTCTTCCGCCCCCTCCCCCACGTACTCTGACATATTATATAAAATTATGTTTATTTAATTCATTGTTGTCGTTAAGGGTTAATATATTATTACATTAGAACTGATGACTGATGTATTACCTCGGAACGGTGGTTGCTGCGGGACCGGTTGTCCGACGTCTGCCGTTTTTGTGAGTTGTTACTACAACTCCTCTTCCTGTTGCCGGTGAACATCATCGTGATGTCGGCGTGTTGTATTCTCATTCTGCGACTACCGACGGTGCTCCGGCCCTCATCAGCTGCGGACCGACGTCGTGCCCGCCCGGCGTCTCAATTTTATATTTTAGCGCGCTCGGCCGACCACCTGCGCCGCGTAATATACACACCTATATCGTATCTAAACCTACCTCAAGTACCTTCCGTCTACCTATAATAATATTTTTTATAATATAATTAATTGCGATACGAAAAGCAATATTAGAAAAAAATTGCGATTATTACTTAAGGTATGTATTATATCGCCGACTATATACGCGATATAATTGATATAAGTTGTAGCGCGTGCCCAAGTCGATGAGACCGCGTCTGTTTGTAGGTCACGATTTAAAATCTATGGCTGATTATTTTCGGTCCGCAATGCCGATGGGGTGGGTGGATGGATGTGGAAGGGAGCAGCGGATTTTTTTATTTTAATATGCGATTATTATTACGCCGACGACAGTGGATTTTTATAACTAGCGAGCTGTGTATAATATTACTATAATATATTCTATTATGTAGTAGGTACCTACGTCCTTTTGCTGGCCGATTATTATAATGTTAATTATTGTTGTTGTTGTTGTTGTTGTTGTTGTGGTTATACATCATGCACTGTACATTTTTATCATTATTATACAATAGGACTATTATAATATTATTACGAAAAATAAGACACGCGTACACAACGACGGCGACGGCGACGACGACAGTCGTCCGGTGGTCGGTCGCGCGCGTTTTAAAAATAGAAATTCTCGGATGAACCGCGGTCGCATCATGACTGGAGTGCGCGCCGGCCGAATTTCGCGCCCGTTGTTTTGACTGAGACACCGATGGCTGAATCGCCGGCCCCTCCCCTGTCCCTTTGGCACCCCCACCTTACGGTGTTACCCGATGGAAGACATGCATGATGCATGCCGGCGAAAGCTTGCTGCGTTAGGTACTCGCGTATACACTATACATTCACGCGTGACCCCTTTTTTCACGGTATATCGTTTCAAGTAATCAAGTGCAAAGCATAATATTATTGTTGATATGTGTTATTATACATATTGTACAAGTATTATATTAATAATTAATAAAACTGTTGAAAGTGAAGCTTGACGGACTAATGATTTTAGTATTAATATAATAAGTAATAACACGACAATATGATTATGTAGTCATGTAGAAGTAGGAATATAATATAATAACGTACAGATAGACACGATAGACATTAGATAGAATATTATTATTTTATTTGAATCATGTACCTAATTTACGGATTTTGAACTGTTGTTACTTGTTAATTTATTGGGTGATTAACAATAAGATTGTCTACCAATGCTTTATTAGTGATGAGTGATGACTGATGAATATGCACAATCGTTTATTCGATATACGGGAGGCGAAGATGATATTAACCGGTTTTACAATATTGCCGATAGCGATAGTAATAATATAGTCCTTGTGAGGGAATCTTTCATTTATGACAAATACTATTGCTTGTTCTTTTTTTCGGGACTGGGCTGTTTGCCACAGTTACAGTTGTGGCAAAAGAGTTTATGTTTACATCCGTGGATATTTGTGCTTCGAGTTTATTTGTTGAAGACGTGGTATTCTGTGAAGTAAGGATTTTCTGAGTTATTTTTGCTACCTACTAATGTTGTTAGTTTGGCTTTTGATATCTGTGATGATATCATTTGGTTGATTTTATTAGGTGTTTTTATAACGGTTGGCTTTGTGGTGCTTAGTGAGTTTTGGCGACTTGATGGGTTTTTCAACAGGTTTTTTTTTGAGTTCATGTTTTTGTGTTTTGGGCTTACGCCCAGCCGGCAGCCGCCCAGGTCGTTTTTGTCTAATACGCGTGCCTACGGTATTAAAATAATTACCATAATTACCTGAGTATGTCAACTGTTTGTTATCGTAGCTATTAAAGACGGAACTCGCGATAAGAAATGTGTAATAATATTACCCTATGGTCTGTACGCAGTGTGAACACGATCTAACACAAAGATTTATTATAGTAATATAGTATAACTATAGGTACATGTATATATTTATAAACCAGTTCGACAATAATGTGATGAGTGCGATTATGACTGCAGACTGATGGACGATAATATATTTTAGTCGTTTGTACTGACGTACTGTACTCGTATATACGGGTTGAATTCCAACTGCTGATGGGTATGAATAATAATGAATGGGTTGATCGTTATGAAACCAAACAGATATCTAAAAATCTATGTATCTATGAACAATATAGGTAGGTTGTAGTAGAGAGCCTAGATAATTATTATCTAGGCTCTCTATCTTAGTCCGTGGTTGTAGGTACACGTACTCTAGTGCTAGTACTCTAGGTAGTAGGTACCTAAAAATAAATAAGACGACAATAATTAAAATATTTATAAATTAAAATGTATCTAATATAATTTATAAGGCTTATATCCTAGGGCCTAGAATTATAGAACGTACAATTAAACGGCGTTATAGATAGACAATTAAACGTACAAAATAGTTGTAAATCCATATTTATCATAACAAAATAGAATATCAATTTGATTATTTTCTAATGATTTTTATGGTATCTTTGTTCCTAATCTACATGCCACCAATGGCCAAAGCCTACCAGTGTATTGAGTATTTAGTATTATATTATAATCGATATAATAAAATACATTATAATATAAACTATATTATATTATAATATATCACAAAACACAATTACACTTACACAACATGCCACATGTCATTGCAATTTTTGAGCACAGCACACTGATCCTTAAATATCAATTCATGAAAAAATTAAGGGTCTTGTAACGTTAGAGGGGTCTGGATATCCGAGACCCAACGGCTACATCACAGTCATCACACCCACCCCAATTCTGATTCTTTATGATATGGACATTTTTGCTACCTATTAACAAAAGCGAATAATATTCAGAGAAAAATTGTTATTGAATTTTTGTACAGGAAAACATTATATGGAACATTATCAAAATAAAATATGAATCACAATACCTTGCCATTTTGTGCTACTGTTCATTTTAAATGAACCATAAAACGATAAAACCCACTCACACCAATATCATATAGACATATAGTATATAAACAGTAATGTATGTACTAGATTATATACCTATTTCATTAATTCAAGTTCATTAAGACATAGTAAACAGTTTTGAAACTATGTATTTTATTCGTTACCTAAGACCTAACTCCTGTTAAAATAATCATATAATATTAGCCGTTAATCGTTTCACGTATGCCTGTATAGATTGGTTACATCTGACATATAATATTATTTTATCAGTAAATATTTGTATGGCTTACATTTATAATATAATATAAATTTACAATTACTATTTACTAATGGAATACTTTTCCAGTATTTCTGAAGAAGTAGTTTTATAATTTTTTTTATAACAATATTTCTGTCAATATAAATTACCTAATAGCTAATATTGATAAGTCTGTTGCTCCATACATGCTTTAAGAGGATATTACATCTGCAAGAGTTGTCTCTGCCGTAAGAGGTTTATGTAGTAATTATTAACGAGAAGCTTCTTCAAACTTAGCAGATCTCATTGAAATTTCTAAAGCAATTTGCAACAACTTATAAACATTTAGAAACATGTGTTACTTACAAATATTTTTAATATTTTGTCTTATGTAAAATTATCCCTTAACTTCTTGAATAATGAACAAATGCCAAATAATTTTTATAAAATCAATGATTAAATTTGATTATGCGCTTGTAAAATACATTTTGTATCACATTAAAAGTGTAACAGTTAAAAGTGGATTCATTATTAATTAGAACTTAAGCAAATATAAAATATCATAAGTTATTAACATTACTTTTAGTGTATTTTTTTTTAAAAAATGTATTGTTTTAATAAAAAAAAAATTAAATATTAATAAAAGCCTAAACTTAAAATAATACAAATGTTCTATAAATCTAGAATTTATTCCTATTTTAGAATTGAATGTTAATAATAAGAATGTGATGGCTGATGAGCCTATATTATTATGTCAACCACTACAACAATTTGTCACGGAAACCATTTCAAATATCAGAATTTATAAAAATGATATCAATTTTTTAAAAGATTTTGTACCATATTGCAAATATTTTATAAATAAAATCCGTTACTTTTTTAATTTAACAAAGAAGTAATTTCAAGTAATTTTATTATTTTATAAAAATTAATTTAATTAACTAACCATTTTAACAATTACTTATTGAAGAAAAAAATTCAAATTAAATTAATTTTAATTTGTTGACATTTCATAAGGCCCCTCCTCCTCAATCGCTTTCAATTAATAATATTATAAAATATTAAATACTGTATTATCGCCAACATCTGAAACGGATCGGCACATTAAGAAGAAGAAGAAATACTGTATATTAATAAGATTTAATGTGTATAAAAGTATAATGTATATATACTTTAAATTTAATATAAAATCACATTCTTAGGCCATTAATCAGTCAAGTTAATTAAACAAGGTATTTCTCATAGGGGATTGAAAATGAATTTAATTTCTAAGGGCCATTCTTACAATGTTCGGTTAAAGTTTACAGACGCTGAATCGGCACAATTTATTCTGCCGGTAATAAAACTTATTATCAGTTGGTTAGCATTAACTGACACTTAACCAGACATTGTAAGAACGGTTAGATTCAATTGACAATTATTTCTCCAGCCATACCTATATGTAGGATTTTAATTGGGTAAATTGGGTTAGGACATAATCTTTTTTTTAATGATATTAATAGCTTCTGCGACAATATCCATAGCTAATTACATACATAATGTTCTGTTTGATAATAGACAATAGGCAAAACACAATGTCAAATTTAAAGTTTAAACATTACTTCTTAATTTGACATCTAGACGACTAGAGCTCTATATAAAATGTATTTCAATAAATAAATGTCAAATATTTTGTACAAAATCTAAGTTTAAACTTGATTGTGTACTTGTAAAATACATTTTTAACCACATTAAACAATGTAACAACCGATTAATAATTCTAATTAATTGGAACTTGAGCAAATAAAACAGAAAATAAATAAAATCATAAAAGTCATTAACAATACTTTTAGTGTATTTTTCTCCGATATACGAAATTGATGATTGCTTATAAATGAATTATTCTTAAATATAAATACAACATATTATATTTTATGGAAAAAACTGAAATATATATTTTTACCATAAATATAGTTTATATTAATATTTATGATAAAAAATATTAGTATCAGTATATTAGACAAGTGTACCCTCTAATGAATCTTCATCTTTGCTGGTAGTTGGATTTCTTTTTCTATCTGCTTCTTTATGTCTTTCTACACGCGTCAGTAATACATTTATAAATTCATCAATACTTTTTGCAGGTCCAAGAACAAGAAATACTTTAATTGAATCTTCTTCAAATGCAGTGAGCCTAACACTTTTTTCACTAACTTTTTCAACTTTCATGTCTGCCCAAATCTAAAAAAATATTTAATAAAAATAAATAATCATAATAGCTAACAATTTTAATCAATTAAAAATACTACCTTAGTGTTCAAAATGACTTTAAGGTTTCCATTGCTTCGCATAACTACCCTTGATGACTGCCCTCCATCCATATCATTTACACGTAATTGTCCACGTCCTTTTTCCACCCAGTTGGATTTAGCATTATCATACACATATAGTTTACATATATTTAGCTGGAATACGTTTACATCATTTTCCTCTCCAGTCATACAATCAACTTCTTCATATTTTCGTTTAGTTGCACGTGATTCTTCATATTCTTTAGCAGCTTCTACCAATCTTCTTTTAGATTCTTCTACAGTTTCATCTAGTCTGCCATTCTAAAAAATAAAAATATAAAATTTAATTTGTATACAATTATAAATACTTATATCATAATACTTCGTCAGGTTCATCATTTTTAAGATTGCCAAATGAAGGGGAAATAACATTTGAAGATGATGAAACTTCAGCTTCTTGAGTATCATTAGGTTTTTTATCATCTTCTGAAGTTGAATCAGCTTCTTTATTTAATTCTACACGTTCATGAAGATTTTGACCAAATATAAAACCACTAGCTAATGAAATTTCATCAGGTTTTTGTGTGCGATTTTTGGTAATAACAGCACCAAATACAGCTGGCGGTGATGGAATAGGCACCTCTTTTTTAGGCTGTGCTTCTTCTGTTTCTGTATCATTTTGATTGGAAGAACTTGAAGATTTTCCTATTTTTTATAAAATAACAAAATATGTATACAACATTTTTTTAAATTATTTTTTCAATACACTCAAAATATCTTAATATTCTATTCAACAGTCACTTGAATTCTGTTATTTTGGTAAAATATCTTATACACATATTATAAGGGAAGCAACAAACAATTCTGCAAACATCTACAACTCTAGATTAATGTTGATAATGTTCTAAATTTGATAGAAAATTAATATTTTTAATATTGACCTGTACCAACCGTGTAAAATTTTTATTACTTTCCTTAAAAAAGTAAAGTTCCTATACCACTTATTATATTATATTTATACATCTATATGATATTGACTTATGGAAAAATAATAACTAATAAGACATTTTGAAGCCATTTAAAGATTAACTCAAGAAGTATAATATTATGAAACCCAACAACAACTATTGACTAAATCCATCATTTAAAAAATAAAGACCAACTTACGAGTGGATGTGGATGTGTTTAAACTTAATCTAGATGGGTTTAAACAGAATGATTTAGATGTAGGTCTCGGAGTATCTGGTTTTCTTTGACCTATCTCAAAAGCAAATGATGACGAAGATGGCAATAATGATGGGCGTAAAAACATTGGACTGCTTGTCTGGTCATCTACAAAATGGTAAAAATAACAATTATATAAATATTAAAAATCATACAAATCAAATTCAATACACTAGATACTATCAAAACATTAAAAACAATAATTCTTATAAACATATATTTGAATTTAAATATACATAAACTTCAATTAAATAGTAATTATATGTCAATTGTTTTTTTTTTAAATGTCAACCTTATATAAATGTACATATAGCTTAGGAAGTTATATTGCTTAAAAATTAGGTAATGTCTATTCAATTAAGAGTTACATTGTTCATGGGAACTATGGAAGAAGCAAAGTCAATAAACATAGATGAAAACAAAGACTGTAGCATAGGCAATAATGCAAGGGGAGATGAATACATCTATGAACAAACCTTAATTATAGAGCATGTTTATGTATTAGGGGAATATCATAAGTACGGATGGGATAAGTAAAAATAAAATAATAAAATTAGTGTGTCAAACTAAATTAGCATTTAATAAAAAATGGGACTTATTACTTCAAGAAATGTTAGCCCACTTGTCAGAAAAATCTTTGAAAAACATATATAGGGAGTATAATGCTTTATAGCAATTAAATGAAAGAAAGAATACCAATGAGAAAAAATAGAAGCTTTTGAAATGCCACTGGCGCTACAAAAAAATGTTCAAGATAAGTTGGGCTAATATATGGAGACTAACAAAGAAATATTGGAAAGAATATCTGAGTCTTCTCTATAGCAAATTATCAATAAAATAAAATAAATAAAAAAATAATTTTTAAAAACATGCTTTTCTTAATACTACTTAATAAATGATAGGGAAGGCCAGTGATTGGAATATAATAGACAAATAATGATTGTGATTAGTGAAGACATTTAGATAAAGGTGTGTCACAAGGATAATTGTTGTAACTTCTAAGGATTAATTATAGGAAGATGTGTGTATATACTTTATTAATGAACAATTATTATACAATTATACAAAATTGATTGTCATTTTTCAATAAATAAATAATTTATATATAATAATATTTATCTATAATGATAAGTTATTTATCTACTTAATGTCCGATGGATCATACAATCATAGGTGCCAAATAGGTACTGTATTAAACAAAAGTAAAAATGTTTTTTGTTGCATAATTTATATTATTTACCTGATTTGTGTTGATATCTGGGTATTGATGAAGAAGGCTTAACCACTCTTTCTGGTGTATCATGATCATTTGTTAACAGATTTTCTGAAATATTTACAATTCAAATAATTATTAGTTATGAACTTTTAACACAGCTTTAAGCCTCAAATGTAAATAAAATTACAACATACAAACTAATAAAACATTTAATAAAATATATTAAATATTTATCAATAAATTTAATTTAATAGGTACCTCTAGAACCTATGCTATATTATTAATTTAAATAGTTGTTAAACATAAAATATATTTTACCATTTAAAAATAATTATGTATTCAGACACTACTACATTTTTATGCAATTTAGAATATATCTTTACAATTAAAATCGTTTTTCTAGACTATCCGAATGTTATGTTATAAAAAAAACATGTCATATTATATTATTTAAAGAATACCTAAGCTAAGTGATCAAACAAAAATCATTGTAAGCTAATATATATTTATTATTTGTTACCTTTACTCAAAATAATTGAAAAACTGATTCACTATCTAAAAAATAGAATTGTGCCATTAAAAAGTTACGTCATGTAAATCCTATATAATATTGTATTAAAAATTACTAAACAATGAAAATAGTACTTTTTGAAAAAATTAATACGTTTATACAATTGAGTAAACAGAAAATATTTTAAAAATATACTAGGTAGGTAGTTTAAAATAAATAATGTAAGTTACCAAACCATACACTAAAAAAAAAAATATTTAATCGTATAGAAAAATCTTCATTATTTCTATTAGAAGAAATTAATATACCCAGTAGGTAGGTGCCAACATAAAATGTATATATAATAATTAATCAATAATTTTAGGTACATTCGATAAAACAGATTTACAATAGGTAACTATGTCACTCATTTCATAATACGTGATAGTAATTTGCTTAATATTTAAATTATTTGGAGTAGTCACTTACCTTTAACTTCTACTTGTTCAGTCATGTTTTTGTGAGCTTACCAATTATAAAATACCTATATCGGGAATCTCCAGAATAAATTATTATTTACCTACGATTTATAAAGATAAAAAAAACAAACTATACAATAGGAACATAATTCTAGAATTCTAGATGTGTTTTTGATAATTTGACTAATTGAAAGAAATTCAGAGTAAGGATAATACAATTTTAATTAATAAACAGAAAACCCACTACACGAACATGAGCAAAACAAATTATTTGTATAATACAAATATTGTATTATGAAAGTTTTATCAAAGCACAAGTGTGACTTATGGTCCTCGACAAAAACTGTGAGGAACAGCTGATAAACAAAATGAAATAGTAAGCATATTGGCCATTGACGTTCGATTAAAACCGAGTTATGTTCACGATTGTTCTATCAGAAATACAAAACATATTTTTCTTTACTTTGTCCGGTTATCCCCGACTAAATCAATCAAACACTTTGGTAAAGCGACAAAAAAAATGTACAAGATTTTTTGGTAGACGCTTGGACGCGAACGGCGGATGACGCTCGTGCAGTATAATACATATCATATAGAACATTATATCTCAGGTCAGAGACGCTAAAAAAAACGGAATTGATGATCGACGACAAAAACAGGGCCACCATATTCGGAACAACAAACTATGTACATTACTTTTGTAAAAAACCAACGAAGGACAATCCTGGCCACCGATGATCATAATTCATAGATAATAGATATTCATAATTCATATTATAGATCACGGACTAAGATATACAGGACTGGACACGAGATGAATATTGTGGTTACGAAATGTTTTACAACAGGCGGAGTTCGGGGGGATATTTTCCTTTTAGCATTACTAGCGCCGTCTTAGTGGATACTTATGGAACTAGAAATTTGTATGATGTGTTCTAGTTCCATAAGTATCCACTAGGACGGCGCTAGTAATGCTAAAAGGAAAATATCCCCCCGAACACTACCTGTTGTAAAACATTTCGTAGTCAACCCCTCCACACCCTCCAACCTTGTCGTGTCCAGTCCTGTATATCTTAGTCCGTGTTATAGATCATAGACGATAGACCTATTAAACTCTTAACTCACAGTCTCACTAGTGACTAGTAGTTCTACTGCAAAATATTTACAATAATCCCGTTATGTCTTATGTGGTTATTTTGACAAGGAATAAGGACCATTTTCGTCAGGCCGACATTTGCGATCAGTAATGTTTCTTAAAAATCGCGGGTCATATATTAAACACGTCGGCAGGGGGGCTACGGGTCTGGACCCCCCTTCCCCCATTGATTAACACAATTTAAAATTCTTAAGGTGCAAATCACTTATTGTATACCTTTTACATGTCAACAAAAATGTGGAAACCCCTCCCCCCTTAAAAGTCCTGGGTACGAACCTGCACGTCGGCATATTGTCGCGGTCTGGAGTAAGTTGTCTAGTGTCTACCAAAAATTGAAACGCTTTCCGCGTTGGCAGCTGCTGCTGTGCCAGTCAAGAGAATAAATCGTCGGTCGGTTGGTCACACTCGACGGCCGGTCCCCTGGCCCCTTCCTCTCCACCGGTGATTGCCACCCTATTGCACCACTTGCGAACATAACGCCGCCCCTTTGCCGCCGACTGATTGAGAACGACGACTGACGGGCTCTGGCGCACTGCTAAATTTTCATTTCTGTGTAACCGTGTCGAAGTACTGCTGGTGTGTTCCTCAACGTGCTTGTTCTGGCGCTTCTAGAACGTTCCCGAGGCTTCATTACACATACGATTTTTCAACCCGTGCGACAAATTCCGGCCGATCTCGACGGTTTTCAGTTTGTCTTATTTAAGGTGAGCTTTACGAAATCGATTAAAAACATACATTATTACATAACAACACGTTTAGATTTTTACCCGAACGTTTTTGTGTTGGCCGGATAAGCCATCGGTAGAATAACATTGGTTCCGTCGCTACCGAAATTTATACCCGAATCTAGTGGAAAGCCATCATTTATTATTTTACATTTTCATGCAGACGGATTACGCTCCATTAAAAAATTACGTACGCTTCCTCCTACCGGTCTCCATGCCGGGGCACGGGAAGACCGCACCACGTTCCTCTTCTCTCCTCCTCTTTATCAGTTACCATTCAAATTTTACTCAGAAAAGAACATTGCGCAATCTTTCTTAAGCGTTAGGACTGTGGTCTATAGGAAATTCGTATTTATATTAGGTATGTTATGACTGAAATGTTATAATCATATTTTTTGGATGAATTGAGGTTAGGATTTTATGTTTGCTTATATAGACCCCTTGTTAATTTCGCCGTTTTTTAATTTGTACCCAATTGTTGTCAGCTTTATTTGAATTAACTCGATGGATTCGTTTGAATGAATATTTTTTGTAAAACAATTTATCTATAGTTATTACAAAATCCACTCAATTTGTGTTTTGTAATAAACAATAAACAATAATCATATTAATTATTCAATTTGGCATAATAATTACAAACTGTTATCAATAGGTACATTCATAACTTAATTCACATTTTTACTTGTTACTTAACATTCAAAAACACTCGTGACTTTTCATACATGTCCTCATTTAATTACATTGTCAATTTTTTAGTAAAGTACTCGTACTTATATTAGTTTTAAAATAAATTATTTAGTATTCAGGGTTTATAACTAATTATTCTTAGACATTTTCCTATTTCTATAATTTAGAATATTAAATAAAAAAAAAAATATATAATACGAACACATTAGACACTTGGTACTTGCATTACTTGGTAGTCAACTAGGTACTCAAAATACTAAAATAACTGAAATTCATCTGTATCATTCTAAAAATCTAATAATATGAATCAAGTCCATACAGCACTATTTAATACGTTTATTTGTATGTGCTAATAGTCGTATATTAAGGAGTATGCGCCTATATTTTATATTTCTGTTTTCAAATTTGAATTAATTAGGTATTTACCTACATGACAATCACAATTAATTTTATAATGTTTCTTACAGTCTCTGTTGTAAATTGGTGCCTATCTTATTTTTGTCTGAACTAATTTATCATTGCAATAATATTGAATTAATTTACAAAACTAATAATAATTCTTATTATATTAATTTTTCTAATAAAGTATTGTACCTACATACTAGAGTATAGAAATTAAATGAAAAATTATTATAGGGATATCATAAATGTTATAAAATTTAAAACAGTTTATTAACTATCATTGAAACTAAAATCCTAATATATATTAGCTTAACTATTTGTAGGTTCACCTATTGTTTAAGATTAAGATATTGGGTTGAAATATTTTTTAAATTTTCTTACAGTTTAGTTATATTTTTTATAGGTACCTATCTGTTTAATTAGGTATATACTTAATGACTTAATTACTGATTCGGGTAAGCTACTGCGTCTAGAATTTTTTACTAAGGATTTACTACTTTTTTTATCTATCTGCTTTACCTGCATTTCTATTTCCAAGTACCTAGTGATTTATAAGTAATCAATTATTTTGGTTACTTACAATCAGCTTAAATATTTATTAGCACATTCAAACAAAATCTTAGGTTATTAGCTTTTTTGCAATTTTGTTTACATTTACAAACGACCAACTTAGGACATTGGTACGTTTCAGATTATATAAAAACTACAATCAAAAACCATTAGTTGACAACAAATATTTTCATTTTGTTCAACTGAAATCTAATTAAGTGATGGAAGACATGGGCTTAAGTTTTGCTGATCAATCTCTTTCACTCAATTCTGCTGAAGATGCCAAAACTATAGTTTCAGCAATCGAAAAATGTCCGTGCCTGGTTTTTCTCAATCTTCAAGGAAACACTTTAGGAATTGATGCTGCTAAAGAAATTGGCCATGCTATTGCTAAACACGGGTCACATCTTAAGCATGCATTATGGCAAGATATGTTTACTGGACGACTCAAATCTGAAATTCCAATAGTTCTAGAACATTTGTCTGCTGGTTTATTAGCAGCAAATGTACGTTTATCTGAACTTGATTTAAGTGATAATGCTTTTGGACCAATTGGTATGCAAGGATTAGTTAAGCTATTGAATTCACCTGTGTGTTATGAATTACAAAAATTACGTTTAATGAACAATGGATTAGGAATTAGTGGAGCAAAAATGCTTGCAAAAGCATTGATTGATAATTACAATGCTAGTGTCGCAGCTGGTACTCCATTCAACCTTAAAGTACTAATAGCTGGTAGAAACAGATTGGAAAATGAAGGTATCATTGCTTTGTCTCAATTCTTTAGTCTTGTTAAAACCATGGAAGAAATAACAATCCCTCAAAATGGAATTTATTGCAAAGGTATATTAGCATTATCTAAGAGCTTACTAGAAAATCCAAATTTAAAAGTGTTGGATGTTCAAGATAATTTATTAACTGTTATAGGAGCAGAAGCATTAGCCAATGTTCTGCCTAAATTAAAAAATCTGAAACATTTGAATATTGCCGATTGTTTGATAAAATCTAAAGGTGCTTTAGCAATTGCAGAAGCTTTAAATGTTCATGAGTCTCTTGAGAATTTGGATGTAAGTTATAATGAAATCAATGGTGAAAGTGGGTTGATATTAACAAAAGCACTATGTGACAAAATAAACTTGAAAGGATATAATATTAATGGTAATAGGTTTGGAATAGAAACTATTGACATAATCACAAAGGCACTAAAAGAGTCTAACAAAGACAATACTCTGGGATCATTTAGTGGCGATGAAGGTGAATGTTCTTCTGATGAAGAAAATGAAAATGCTGAAGAAAGTTCAACAGATACTGAAGATGGCGATACTTCTACTTCTTTTGCCGATAAAACTGCCGATATTTCTACTTCTCTTGCCAATAAAACTGCCGATTTAATGAAAGATATGAATGTTAGCGAGATTAATTTAGTAAAAAATTCCACAGATAATGTTGGTTTCGAAATATTAGTTGATCAACTAATGGATATTGCTGGTCGTTATCAAAATGCAAATGATAAAGTAACGTTGGATAAGTGTTTTGAGTTATATAAATCAGCGTATACTAATGCTACCAAAGAATTAAAATTTGTCGACTTAACAAATTTATTGTTAGTAAAACATGGATTAATTAAAAGCGAAGACAAAAAATTCCAACTACGAAAAGATGTTGGTAGATGTTTAGATGTTCTAAGAATTGCTGTTGAAAATAAAAATGTTATTCCCGAACCATCTCAATGTGTATTAAGCTTTATGTTAAAAAAAAAATTTTCAGTTCAATAATTCATAATTTCTTTAATAGCATTCAATAATCTAAAATATATTACTTTTTTTTTTTATAAACATAATTCAGTTTTTTGCAATTTAATAATTTATATATTTTCTTTAGGATATTGAATGTATATTATATATTTTATAATTTATTTTTTACGTATATTTTGTGCTCAAATATTTTTCATCCTTATTTAGAGGTTTGATAATTTTGAGCAACATTTGTAAATTGTATTGTTAATTATTAATCTGTTAAACTTCATACTGCAAACAATAATATGTATCGATTAGGAAAATATAAGAAATTTAATTTACTCAGCTTAATGCTAGTTCTCTGGAAGACTTATGTTCTTAAAATTATTTTACTATACATTTTTGATATATTTGTTAATTATAGCTCCTTTTCTTTTATGTAAAGATTTATGTTTATTAAATTTAGTTAAGGTTTGTTAAGATTTAAGAATAAATAGTAGTTATTAATATGTCTTAAATCTTTAACTAGTAAATATAATAATGATAAATACAAAGTACTTGTTAACTAATTTTTATTTTAAATAACAAATTGAACCCTTTATTTTCATTGCAATTATTAACTTCAATACAAAGAATACAATGTCATATACCTGGTCGAAAAATTAATTAATTTAATGGAATAATCATGGGCCAAAAAATCATGTTAAGTGATTATTCATGCAACTCAGCATTAGTATATTTTATGCATTTTTGTTTTGGTATACAAGGTATTAATACATTAAAAACATAGGTACCTATAAATATTTAGGGTTCAAAATATTGAAAACTATAATTTATAATTTAGACAATTGTCAAAGTTTATTATACTTTCACAAACATTTTTACTTTGATTAGGTAATTACTATTTTAGTTAAGTTTATATACTGTGATATGTTTACTCCTAACTGATAACAGAAAAACCAAAACTATCTACAAGATCAAGTCACACTGTCTGAAATAATATATATTATAGTTAGGTTGTTTTTAAAAGTAAATCCGTAATTAGATGTGATTAGTCCCTATTTATTTATCTACAGTTTTATTTAAAAGTATAAAGTCTATACTACTCAATTACTATTACATAATATATTTCCTATCCAAATATATGATTAAAAAATGTCTTAAACTATAAATAAATTAAACTGGGTCCTAGTTACACATTCCTATGATGAACATTTTGTATGTACAATTACATAATCTTCATTGAGTTCATAACCTTTAATTTAAGTTGACGGAAAACATCAACAGCTTACACTATAATATGTATGAATAGTTACTGCCATAGCTGTACAATTAATAACAAAATTACACTAAACAATTAAGAAATGGTTAAACTAATCCCTTTTAAATTTTACTTACTGATGATGCCTGTTGGTGTTACCGTTTAAAATTTTTAATTTATAAAAAAAAATACAAACTGGCTGCTAAAATTTTTTTTTGATAATGATTGTATTAAACAAATCATAAAACGTACCTGGGTAACCAGTCAGAAATATCAACTGGCTGCTATATTTATATCTGATTTATAATAAATGTGTTTTTACTAGACATAACTGACATATCTAATATATTTTCCCAATGATGATACTGTTGGAATTACCGTTTGAAATGTTCATTTATGATGAAATATCAACTGGCTGCTATATTTATATCTGATTTTGAATGAATAATGATTGTATTAAACATGTTGAAGACATAACCGATTAAATAAATACTCACAATGATGATACTGTTGGAATTACCGTTTGAAATTTTCATTTATGATGAAATATCAACTGGCTGCTATATTTATATCTGATTTCTATTTGATCATGATTGTAGTAAAAAAATAATTTTACTTATATAACCACTAAATTTATTACTTTTTAAATGATGATATTGTTGGAATTACCGTTTGAAATTTTCATTTATGATGAAATATCAACTGGCTGCTATATTTATATCTGATTTCTAATTGATCCTGATTGTAATAAACAAATAATTTTACTTAGGTGACCACTTAATCAATTTTTTTAAATGATGATATTGTTGGAATTACCGTTTGAAATGTTCATTTATGATGAAATATCAACTGGCTGCTATATTTATATCTGATTTCTAATGAATAATGATTGTATTAAACTTGTTTAAGACATACCGATTAATTAAATATTCACAATGATGATACTGTTGGAATTACCGTTTGAAATGTTCATTTATGATGAAATATCAACTGGCTGCTATATTTATATCTGATTTCTAATGAATAATGATTGTATTAAACTTGTTTAAGACATACCGATTAATTAAATATTCACAATGATGATACTGTTGGAATTACCGTTTGAAATTTTCATTTATGATGAAATATCAACTGGCTGCTATATTTATATCTGATTTCTATTTGATCATGATTGTAGTAAAGAAATAATTTTACTTATATAACCACTAAATTTATTACTTTTTAAATGATGATATTGTTGGAATTACCGTTTGAAATGTTCATTTATGATGAAATATCAACTGGCTGCTATATTTATATCTGATTTCTAATTGATCCTGATTGTAATAAACAAATAATTTTACTTAGGTGACCACTTAATCAATTTTTTTAAATGATGATATTGTTGGAATTACCGTTTGAAATGTTCATTTATGATGAAATATCAACTGGCTGCTATATTTATATCTGATTTCTAATGAATAATGATTGTATTAAACTTGTTTAAGACATATCCGATTAATTAAATATTCACAATGATGATACTGTTGGAATTACCGTTTGAAATTTTCAGTTATGATGAAATATCAACTGGCTGCTATTTTTTTCTGATGTCATTTGATTACTCTAAAAACAATTATGTTCAATTTGAATACAAAATTACGAAATCTTCTATAAAAATTAACATTTATGTTCTACATGACTATTTATTAAGACCAAAATTATTCAGGTATTACAAGTTACTAAACCACTCATACTTTAATTACCTGATGTTTCTTTCCCAACACATTGTTTACTATTTAATATTTATATAATTGTATCCTTGTATTTATTTTATGAAGCATATATGTGACTTTTTAAATTAATATTATTGTTTAACTTGTTATTTTACAGATTACTGTAGAACTTAAATCACATCACAATGTTGAGCGCAGCTAAATATGTTGCACGTCGAGCTACAGAGCAGTCGCTACTTGTTAAGCAAGATATAATATCTAAAGCTTTATGTCTTAGCCCATTTCAAACTCGGCAATCATCAACTAAGGGTGTCCAAGGTCATGTTATTGGAATTGATCTTGGCACTACCAATTCTTGTGTGGCTGTTATGGAAGGAAAACAACCCAGAGTAATTGAAAACTCTGAAGGATCAAGAACTACACCTTCAGTTGTGGCTTTCACTAAAGATGGAGAAAGATTAGCTGGTACTCCTGCTAAAAGACAAGCTGTAACTAATACCCAAAATACTTTTTATGCTACTAAAAGACTAATTGGTCGGCGTTATGATGACCCTGAAATACAAAAGGATTTAAAAAACTTGACGTTTAAAATTGTAAAAGCTACTAATGGAGATGCTTGGGTACAAGGTTCAGATGGCAAGATGTACTCCCCTAGTCAAATTGGAGCATTTGTCTTAATTAAAATGAAGGAAACAGCTGATTCTTTCTTAGGAACAAATGTTAAAAATGCTGTAATTACTGTTCCAGCATATTTCAATGATTCTCAGAGACAAGCTACAAAGGACGCTGGACAAATTGCAGGACTCAATGTCTTGCGTGTTATTAATGAACCTACTGCTGCTGCGTTGGCATATGGCATGGAGAAAGATAGTGATAAACTTATAGCTGTCTATGATTTAGGTGGTGGTACTTTTGATGTTTCTATTTTGGAAATCCAAAAGGGCGTATTTGAGGTCAAATCAACCAATGGAGACACATTGCTCGGTGGTGAAGATTTTGATAATTTATTGGTTAATTATTTCATATCTGAATTCAAAAAAGAGCAAGGTGTTGATTTAAATAAAGATGTTATGGCTTTGCAACGTGTAAAAGAGGCTGCTGAAAAGGCAAAAGTTGAATTATCCTCTTCTCTTCAAACTGACATCAATTTACCATACATAACTGTTGATAGCTCTGGCCCCAAGCATTTAAACTTAAAATTGACCAGAGCTAAATTTGAAGGACTGGTTGGTGATTTGATTAAAAGAACGACAGGTCCATGTCAAAAAGCTGTAAAGGATGCTGAAATAAAACTTTCTGATATTTCTGACGTATTGTTGGTTGGGGGAATGACTCGAATGCCTAAGGTGCAGTCTTTGGTTCAAGAAATATTTGGAAAACAGCCTAGTAAAGCAGTAAATCCAGATGAAGCTGTTGCTGTTGGAGCTGCAATTCAAGGTGGTGTGCTGTCTGGAAGTGTAACAGATGTTCTTTTGCTGGATGTCACTCCGTTATCTCTTGGTATTGAAACAATGGGAGGAGTATTCACTAGTCTCATCTCTCGTAATACAACCATTCCAACCAAGAAAAGTCAAGTTTTCTCTACAGCGGCTGACTCTCAGACTCAAGTAGAAATTAAAGTATTCCAAGGAGAGAGAGCAATCGCTGCTGATAATAAGCCCCTCGGCCAGTTTTCATTGGTTGGAATTCCACCTGCACCTAGAGGTGTTCCACAAATAGAGGTCACATTTGATATTGACGCTAACGGTATAGTTCATGTTTCTGCCCGTGACAAGGGTACTGGTCGTGAACAACAAATATCGATCCAATCTTCTGGTGGTCTAAGTAAGGACGAAATAGAAAATATGGTGAAGAACGCTGAACAATATGCTCAACAAGACCAAGTTAAAAAAGACCGTGTTGAAGCACTTAATCAAGCTGATTCTATTGTTAATGATACTGAAAGCAAATTAACAGAATACCAAGTACATATACCTGAAGAAGATGCCACCAATATACGTGAACTAATTAAAGAAGTAAGAGAAAAAATCGCACAAGCACAGGCTAGTGAACAAGATCCTGAAGAATTAAAAGCTAGTACACAAAAATTACAACAAGCTTCGTTGAAAATGTTTGAAGTAGCCTATAAGAAGATGGCTGCCAAACGTGAACAAGAAAGTAGTGGCAATCAAAACCAAAGTGGAGATGGTCAGACAACCGAGCAAGAAACTACAAAAAAAGAACAATAAAAAAGTTTCTAATAAGGTAGTTGTCTCCAAATTGTAGTAGTAAAAATTGCTATTTGTTTTTTATTCATAGTATGTAAATAATATTGTATATATTTATATTATAATTATACACATTTTATATATAATAATTGAATATATTATTATACCAAATGTTCACTGACATTGGCGCTCCTAATGATCACTTTATTTTTAGAACTTAATTTAAACTTTCTTGGAATTATTGATTGATTAGAGTAAATCCAAAACATTTATTGGAAGTTTGGTCTCACTTATTTGTATATTAGAAATCTTACATAAAATAGTTATAAAATGTATGTTACACTTACCTATGCGCTATTCGGTAATAAAAAAGGTTTGCGTTAAAAACAGTTAAATGTATGATGTATGTAGATATTGGATAAGTTGTCTAATTACCTTTCATCTTCAAATTATACCTGTTAAACTATTTGGAAAATTTAAATAATACTATTACTGTTCTAAATGAAAATATATTAGCTATTAGGGATGACAATAGTTTTAAACATTTTAAGGTACCTATTAGTATGAAATAATAAAATGTATTAGTAAACTCTGGTTCATTTTATATAATCAATCAACATTTAAAAAATTTTTTTCAGTACCTGAAAAACGGCCACACATAATATCATCAGTAGTAAACAAATAACTTGAGAAACTATAAATGTATTTATTGTCTGTATAAAATTAAGCTCCTTAACTTTATAAACTATCTACTGAGCTTGTGTAATCTGAAACATATTTATATGTTATTGGTCAATCTCAGTGGTGGATCTAGGATTTTTTATGGTAGTTGCTATGTTGATAATAAACATCTTTTATCGGTACCTACTCAGTACTCATCATGAATAACTTCAGGATGAAAACAAAATTTAGTAGGCTATATTTGTGGTCTACAATTAATATAAAATAACTTATATCTAAGTAATTTATATTAAATAAAAAAGTTCAATATGCAGGATGATTAGTGTTACAGCTCCCAAGCACCCAATAAAACATCCTAAATCAGCCACTGATAAACTTCTATCCTAAGGTAAGTACATATTATACATTTTATTCTTAATAACAGTAAATGTTTTGCTGTTTGCCATATTTTATACATCATTCAATCATTATATTATAACAACACTAACTTCATTTAAAATATTAATGCCCGGTTGCATAAAATACTAATTAATTTAATGGACCAATCGTAGGCCACTAAAATTATGTTTAAGGGGCCATTACCTCACTATTGATTGAATAAATATTTAGTGACATATTCAACCCGGCATAAATATACCATTTTCAGTTAACTTGTGATTATGACAATAATATAATGATTAATAAATTAACTTGGATAAAATAGTTTGGAAATTTAATTCTAATACACCTAATATTATATAATATGTTAAATTAACTAACAAAGCCAATGAATATTATGTTAATGATCTTTAAACTCTATTGTATACTATAGATGGATTAATGGTTATTAATATTAAAATATTATATATTTTAACATGTACATTAAAATAGTTAGCCAAAGAACAAGTTCTGCTGAGGCAACTTTTTTGTTGTTAAACACTGCAGTCTGACCTTTCAAAACTTAATTTTGCATAGAGTCATTAAATTGTGTGTAAAAACTTGTATGTAAGACATTTTAGGCTTTAGAGCGTGGCATGAAAAAAACATTTTAAATAGTTTGTACCTATTATATGTAAATAGATGATATAATACTGGATACCTTCTAAATTGTATTAAGGGGGCTCCAGTCGGTTTTGTCAAAAGTCAAAACTTATGTATATTTGACCAATCTTAACAAACATTTTGTTTATTTTTATATATTAAAATTCCATATCAAAATAAATCTTAAGGGGGCTGTGTCGATGAAAAAAATTGATTTTTAGACCAAAACTGAAGGAATTTGGTTTGAAGGATTTTAATTTTTAAAACTGATTTTTATTGTTCACCAATCTTATTAGGTTTCCATCAAGGCGATTTTGAATATCTATTTTTTCAGCTGTGATATCCATGAATTAAAATATGCAACTCACATTATAACCATAACTAACAATAATTGGAATATTAAAAATCGCCTCGATGAAAACCTAATAAATGTGTTAATCAATCATAATCCGTCTTCAAAATTAAAATCTGTCTAACCAAAATCCTCCAGTTTTGTCAGGCTTTTGGTCTAAAAGTCACTTTTTTTCATCGACTGGAGCCCTCTTAAATTACCTAACATTTGAAGTAGTAATATTAAGAAAACAGTATGCTCTTGAGTCATCTTATTATTAAACTATCCATTTATGTCTCACCTCACGTATTACCCAGTGCCGAGTAGCTTGAAGTAATTGGAACTAGAGCAAATTTAAATTATATACTGGTTAGGGCGGCCGTATTCAGAGCAGGGCATGGGATGCAATTCTTAGAGTTCTAAGAGGGGCGCAAATTTCAATACTACTTATGTAATATTTGAAAAATGTATATTTATTTTAATGACTTACTATAGAAGAGCCTCGTTCTATTTTTATTATATAAAAATGATTTATGTTGATGCCTGTGGTGGAAATGCATGCTCGAGTTTTGACCGGTTTGTATTATATTTTTATGTAGGTATGATTTAATATTGATATGTGAATCATATTCTCATAAAATAGATTAGGTATGTATGTATAATTATTAACTACTGTACGTATCCAAAATATACGTTTTCTGTTATTCAGGTATTGAGCATTAGCAAAATGTTATTTGACTAATGACTTCTATTAAACGGTGAACTACAAATGCAGTGATTCGCCAGGGTCGCCTCCAAACTACAATACTAGGGCCCTGAGACTGGTTCACAAATTTAAAAAAAATTACTCCCAACATTTTCTTTATATACATGGGTACTAAATTTACGTTAGAAAACATATTATTATTAGGGAAGTAAGTATAGTACACACACAGAAATACAAAATAGATGTAAATTGTAAGGTAGACGGTAAGTACAATCTTTTAACAACATGCATTTGACAGAATGAGGCTACAGGTTCAGCGATAAACTGTTTGCAGGTCTATTTCAGTAAATTATTATAAAAATTTAATATATAGAACACTAACCATGTTATTATTCAGAAAATAATAAATATCATTCAAGAACTAGTTGTGAAAAAATAAAAATATTATGTAATTAGCACATAACCACATAGGTACTTTTTTTTTGAGTAACCACCACATAGGGATGCACAACTTTAAGTAAAAAACCGCTTGCCAAGTCAGGGATAGGTATGCAAACTTTCTTGATTTTTAATTTTTAGAAATTTATTGACTGATATAACACCCAAGTGGTATAACAATTTGAAACCAGAAAAATGTCGTTGCCAACAATCATTTTCATTTAGTGAGATAGATCGCCGAAATCGGAGAGTGGATTTCGTTGTTTGGGGTCTTGTTAGATTCACATTGGTTAGGAGAAGTGCAGTGAAGATTTTCAGAACTTTATCTTTAATAATTAATTCACTACTGAGTTCAGAAAATTAAAACAAATTTGTTATTGGCCATTTTTTGATGCTTTTCAGCTTTACAGCTTTGTAGTGAATTAATAATTGGAGGTTCTGAAAACCTCTGTACTTGCCCTAGCCAATGTGAATGGTGAATCTAACAAGACCCCAAACAACAAAATCCGTTTTCCAGTTTCGGAAATCTAGCAAAAAAATAACTTTTTTTATCTGTGTAAAATTAAATAATTTTTTTTTTAAATTTTAACTCCACATTTAGTATCTACTTGATAATTCCTTTTTAATGAGTTATCAACCAACTTTCTAGCTATCATAGTTTAGGAGAAAAGTTAAAAAATAGACATTTTGGGACTGTTCACGTCGACGTTTTTATGGATTGTGAGTGGTTATACCGCTTGGGTGTAATATCAAATCCCTCTCATTAATATTTTATATTAAAGCTAGCTATATCACCCACCTTCTTATTATTACTGAGTTACATATTTGTTATTTTCCTGTTTAACACAAATTCTTGAAGTTTTCAAAATTCATACTTTTTTCATTTCAATTACCATTCTTACTTGATTAAGAAATCAAGAAAGTAATATAATATAAATAACGATATATTTTACCTATATTCTTTGTGTGTTATACTTATACATGATATCTACATAGTTACATTCATTAATGACATACAGATACTCGCCAAACCTTCCAACTTAAGATCAATCCAGGACTTCAACTTTTCAGTCGAATAGTCTGATCCGTATTATTATCAAACATAATAGTCTCCAAAGTGACTCAAAATGTCTAAATTAAAATTCTAAACTTAAGTAACCTTTCTGTTGTATAGTAGGTATTGAAGTGTACCTCGACATTGAGAAAGTCACTAATTTTAAAAATTATTATTCAATAAATCATTGCATACAATGCAAAAAAAAATCTTCAAGATTGTCCAACATTTAAACTTCCGGACATTCATAAAAATATTTGTGGATTGAGCTCAACTTTTTTCTATAACTCACTTTTATGATAATATATTGAACTTTGTACTAAATTTTCAAACTTTAGGTACGAATGATAACATTTTTATTAATTTTATACCAACTGTTAGGTAATTTGAAATTTTTTTTTGATTTGAACAAATTTGATATAATTTTGGACTTTAATATTAAACGCATATAAAAAAATATTGTTTTATATTTTAAAATTATACATTAACAATTTATAAGGAAACTTGTATTACATTTCCAAACTTTTTTACTCAAAAACAAAAATTGTATTACTCATAAATCCAAAAATACTATTAAACGTAAACAATTTATTAATTTTTAAGTTACAATAAAAAACTAAATTGATTTTCTCAAAAATTAGACTTATGTAAAAATTGAAAATGTTTTATACATTTTTTGGATTTTCCCTCTTATTGTTAAAAGTAATGAGATTTTTTACTTTTGACCCCCTAAAGTACCAAATTGCTACCAGAAATTTCTTTCAAAGTCAATAATCTTTACTGTTCCAAAAGATGATGCCAGGTAGAAAAGAAACACAATTATAATATAAATATTGCTCCACTATAAGAATCTAAAATTAAAAGCAATTTATTGAAATACAATTAAGCATATAACCTATAATTAATATTTATACATTTATAATCAATGAACTCACAATATAGGATCAACAATACTGTCAGTAGAACAGTAAGTATAGACATCTATAAGTATCAGTGGCTTATATAGAGGGTGGGCCTAGTAGGCTACAGCTCTCCCCCTAAATTACAGTCTTTTTAAATAGAGCAACAACATATTTTATTAGATACTATTATAAGTTATAATATTTCAAAGCCTGTTGAAAAATAACAAATACGAATATATTTATAGAAACTGTTAAATATATAGTAGACAGTAGCCTCTAAGTAATAGATCACTTGCTAGTTTCTATCTACTATAGCCCACACCAAAAATTATTTCTATATATGCCACCGATAGGTATTTTAGGTACTGTTAATAATATTGATCGTGTATTCGTGTTATATAAAATATGTTATAGATTAGATTAACTGAAATGTAGGTACTCAACATATGGACATATTATGGTCAAATAATAAAGTAAACTGTACCAAAATAATTATATAGTTAAACTTAAATTATTTAATGGTTCTACTTTTAAAGTTAGATAGGTAATATAATTGAAGTTCCTAAAATTATATATTAGAAAAAAAGTTTCCTAATTAAATAAGGGATTTAATACATCTTAAAGAATATTGTAAGTCATGAAAATTTAATTATTGTACCTATGCATGATACACATAAAATAATATTATGTAAAATTAACTAACCAAAATCATTCGTAGGTTAAATGTTATGTGTGTGACATTAAAACTCTAGCATATAATTTTACCATTTTTAATAGTATTGTATGTAAAAAGATGATACAATATCTTCTAAATTGATTAATTGATTAGAAGCGCCTATAAAATACATATTTTATATAAATAATAATGTAAATACCAGTTTAATTTGACACACTGTTGTTTCAAATAAGAGTAAAATGTAAACACTTATATAATGCTAAAATATAAAATATGAAAATCTTAATTAAATAATAGTTATTACTTTATTATGAAACATACTCAATCAGTCAAAATATTTTAAATATTATACAATTTATTGAATTTAACTTCATAAAAAAAATATATTACCTTAATTTAACACAATATTATATAACACAAAATTATATATTATCTAATTAAATTCTTATATCGATCAATCCAGTTAATTATAAGATACACCTAGTTTAAAATTAATGGGAACACAAGTAGAAGCAAACATATTTATATCTTATAGCTACCCTTATTAGTTGTATTAGTGTATTTTTACCGCAAAAAATAATATAATAGAACAAAAAATAATTTAATCTGGTTTTAAATAAATGCTCTAATTTTAACCAGCTCCCAACGCACATTAAACATAAATTACATAGGTAATTAAAAAATATATTTATAAATGTTTTTTTACAATAGGTACCTATATTATTCTAAATATACATAAATGTTTTTTACAAAAGGTATATTATTCTAAATATATATGACAATGTGACATATTATATACTGCTGTAGTGGTGCACTGCTAACACATATAATAAAGTATTGTTTTTTTGATTGAACTGTATATTATGTTCAAAAAATGGACCATTTAAGTTGAAGTGATTTTTGACGATCTATAAGATATAAATTCATATAGTGTTAATATTATAAGTAATATTATATTAGAATACAAGTGAAATAAAAAAAAAAAAAAAAACAGAAGTTGATTTTCTATATAGAAGCTAGGTTTTGAAACTACCTCTTCACTGAGTAGGTAACTATGGTTGTTTTAAATTTAAATTCAATGATAAATCGTTGCATATACTATTATAATGATCAATCAGTCCTTATTTCAAAAGATATTTTATTATATTTATCATATTACTATTATTGGTTAATTTTTCATTTAGTACTTAGTAATATGGTAGGTTAGACTAACATTTTCCAAAAACAAATCTTAAGCTTTAGAAATCAACTGCAATTACAATTTCCAACCGCTGCAATTAACATATAACTTATTTATTAAAACTTATAAGCCATGCTTGATTTAGGAAAAATTTAATGGGGATGCAAAAGTGTAAAAAGAAAGTACCTAAATATTTAAATGCATCATTTTAGATATTTAGTGCATATAAATGCATATTTTTTAACTTTTTAAGGCATATTTCAATGCATATTTTGCCAATTTTGAGTGCATAAATACATGCTTATTTAGGCATCTTTTAGGGCATGAACTTACGAGCCCTGGTTATAAGTCATACCAATAAACCGTGGACTGGTGTGAATATGTTTGTGGTATAAGAACCCGAAAATTAGAGATAACCTTCTAATAATAGATTCAAAACTGGAAAATACTATTTAAGAAGATGCTACGCAACATGATGTGGGGTCTTCATCTTACAAATGTACAAGAGAGACGGTTTGTCAGTGTGGATATTTTATATTATATTTACATTGTTATTACTTATTATTAATACGCTAGCCAGGAAGTTGAACTTATATTATATAATTACTACAAAATAACTAAAATATACAAAATTAGATGTATTTTATTAATAACTAGGCAGCCATATATTTTGTACTATGCATATAATATTTTTAAGAAATTTAAATACCATTTTATGGATCATTTAGTAATAGTCTCTGGATTATAGTCAAATGAATCTCTTGTCAATTCAGTTATAATTTAAATTATTTTCATATCAAAAACTGTTAGTCTTTGATAGAATTTTGGCTACATCCCAAATAAAGTGTTCCATATCCTTTTACTATCGTTGATAATTGATCTGTAATTGTAAAACACAAGGTAATTATATTTTATATATTTAACTTAAAACATATATATTATACATGTATTACAACTGTATATTATACAGTTTATTCAATAAAAAAATATTTGGGTTACCTTGAATAAAGTATTTACTTTGGGACCTCTATTAAAATTTTAGCAATAAAAATTAAATATATTGTATAGTTAAGGGATGGGCAAACTACTGAAATTATGATAATATAAAGTCAAATATTATCTTAAACAAAAAGAGTGAATACAACAATGTGTATATAAAGCACATAATATAATATATATATATTTAATAAACATAATAATATTATATAGCAAATTGTATTTCACGATTATTGGATCTGAAAAAAAAAAGAAATAGTTTGCCTATTCCTCGAATAATGTATTAATAATTAATATAAGTTACTAGGATGAGCCATTGCTGATTTTATTTCATCCTCATGGTTTTCAACAATTTTCATCAAACTATCTTCCAAAGTATTTATATAAATATTATTAGCTGTCCATGTATCATCCTGGTCCATCATAATTGTAAATGAATTACAGTGAAAATATTTTTGACAGTTATGATTAATATGACTTAATATTACACGAATAAATTTAACATATGATTTTTTACAATAATAGGGGAACCAACATCTAAAAATAATAATACATTAATATTATTAAGTATCAAAATAAAATAGTTGAATAAAAAAAAATGGTTTAATAATATAAAATACCTGACTAAACGTTGTATATCATAACAAGTAACATTCTCGGTAGCAGAATTTTTTATTGCTAAATATATTAAATGAATCCAATGTAATGGTGGACACACCTTAAATATTAATGTAATAAATATTTGTAATTAAATTAATTATTACATAATATACAATCAACACATAATAATGAAAATAATAATTAAATACTTGATTTTGCATACAATGCATGTTCATATTTTTACATGCAGTAAATGGGTTTTCATCAATCATACTTAAATAAATAATATTAAACATTTATATTTTGTATATTTTTCCATATTTTCCATAAAAACTTCTATTAGTTGGTAGGTAGGTATTCATTGCATACACGTTTTTCTATCATATATTTTTATCCTATCCACTTCTTCTAACATTATCGACTTATCGTCAATACTACAGAACACGGACTGATAGACTGAGGACTATAGTTTGAAGCGTACATTTGGCAATAAAAACGTGTTTATTTTATATAACGTTGTGTGTGTACTGTGTATGTTACTTTACAATGCCAAAGTGTCCAAGTTAAAAATTAACATCACTTCGAAAATAGATTGAACAGTATAACAAATCAGGTGAAGTTTTCAAAACATTAAATAATAATTCAGTTTTTGGTCAATGCTGTAATAAAGTAATTGTAGTAGAAAAAAAGTTTCAAATTGATCAGCACATTAAGTCATTTTCACACGAAAAATACCATGACCCATGAGGCAAATATGTTGCAAAATTTATAGTTGGAAAATTAAATGTCAATTCACCATCAAAATTGTATCTTTTTGCATCAAAATTTCTTAAAAAAAACAAATAATAATAGGTACCATATTCAATTTGTAAATGATTGTCTTAAGAGTATTATGGCAAGAGGGAGATAACGAAGAAAAAGTTTTGTTATCCGATGCATCCCCATATATGGTTAAGGCTACCAACAATTCATAACCATTTTATTCATGTGACTTGTGCTGCTCATGGTATTCATGGGATGGCTGAAAAGATTATGGATATTTTTCATGAAATAAACGATTTTAATTAACAACCAAAAAAAGATATTTTTGAAAGCTACTCATAGATGCTTTAGAAATTTTTGAACAAGTTATAAATTCTATTATTAATCTTTCTGAAAATTAAAAGATGAAATGTAGTTTTTGAAATGTATTTTTAAAAATTAAAATTAAAAACTCCACTATACTATTCAGACTTATTTAAACAAATGTTATTAAATAGTTCAAAACTACATGTCTACATGGTTTTAGGAATAGACATAAAATATTATTTGTCTATGGTTTTAGGTTCGGATCACAGATTAAGATTCTATACAATCTAATCTTCTATCACAGAGTTTCTCAACCGGCGTGCCGCAAAATCTCATTATTGCTAATAAACACTTAGGTAAAATTTCAATAATAAGTTAAAATATATTGAAGTGAAACCAGTCCCAAATTTCTCACTAGGACTAGATTTTTATAATGTAACCGTAATGTTATATCTTTGTTTTTCCATATCAATAAATTTAATATTTGTAATAAATTAAAATATTATTTTTCATGAGTTTTCCTAGCCTAAATAAACATACCATTTTAAATTATTTGCTAGTAATTTACTGATATGCTACTTTTTTGGTATTAATATGATGAAGCCTAATATCTTATTCTTATATTAAAAATACATACAGTAAAGCCTGTGTAATATGGAAACAGTTGGGACCGGATATTTTTTCCATTTAATACAGGTTGTAAAAAAAAATTTCCCGATAGATCTTTATCAAATGTAATTTATTATTTATTTTATATATTTTACATATTTATTATTGCATTTTAACTACGTTTTATTCTACATAATTATATACTCCAAAATTCATCTAATGTTTTTTGTTTTGTTATTTGACTTGCCATTTTATTTTCTACTAAATTTTTCAAGTTGAGCATAGATTCAAGAAGTTCATTTTCATTATGTTGATCCAATTCGAACATTTCTAATCGTTTTATTTCATGAAGGGCGTTTTTATACGTTATAATATCAATAATTATTAATATATTATACACTTGATATTTTTCACATTTGAAAAGTTAACAAATTTGTTTTACTGTTAATTTATGTATATTTTTCACTTGACTCAATTAGTTTAATTTTTTCATTTAGTGTTAAACATTTATTTTTGGACGTCTTCGTTAGAACACTACCACGGCCAATCTATATAATTGATATAGATTATATCGAGGATTATATTCATTGATTGATAATTTTAAAATAGTACATGTACATATTTCCATGATGTACAGGTACATGACAAATTTTTGTTTCCATTTCCACGTTAAACAGGTTCCATCTTATTCAGGGAACGATGTATTTAAAAATACATTAGGTTCCTCGGGACCGTAACATTATTCCATAAAAGTCAGGTTTCCACGTTATTCAGGTTCCATATTACACAGGTTTTACTGTATTATATATATATATATATCAAGAATATACAGTATAAGTCAGTGTCAAGTGTGCCACGGCTAAAAATGATTATGACTAGAGTGCCGTGAGAATAAGGTTGTGAAAAGCTGTTCTATCAGCACCATCACCTCTTCTACTAAATTAAATATTATTTATATTATGTATTGAAAAAATATTATTTAACAAAAATATTATAATAGTTGCCTCAAAACAGTATGCAGCCAATATTTTATTTTATTTCCGTAAATATTTTATTAATAAGTGCAATATGTTAAACTGTAAAATTATTAATGTAATATATAGTAAAAATATAAAATCTTTATCAGTAATAGGTACGTTGAACCTCAAGCACAGACACCCATGCACCTGGGGCAACTGCCCAATAACCCCCTCTCTAGATACACCACTGATTGGACTAGTCAATAGATTATAATATAGCACAGTAGTTAAAAATAATATGTATGTGTTAATTATTTATACTTACATTGTTTGTAGGTGTATCTGATTTTGAAAAATTAGCATTATCATATGAAGAACTTGCTGTATTCGCAAACAGTGAATTGCTTAGATGTAAAGATGAGCTCAATAAATAATTTTTCAAATTTTTATCATCTTTTCTTGCTTTTGTATTCTTTGAAACATTTAATAATTCATTATGCTGATTGTCCTTAACAATAAGTTTCATACATGGTTGATTACTCAATTTTGTTTGAAATTCAGTGCCTAGGAAAAGTATTTAAATTTTCAAATTTATATTTTATGAAAGTTTAATATATTTTAGAGACACCTACCATTTGTAATATTTTGATTTTGTATAATGGTTGCATCATTATCTAATGGGACTATTTCCGTTATTTTATATTGTTTTCCATCATTTAATTCAAGATTTTCACTTACTATATTATTTGAATCATTAGAATTATTTGACAAATCATGATTATTTGTATTATTTGATTCCGTATACAATTGTTCTTCATTTAATAGTAACAAATCATATGGGCATTCCTTATTTTTATTCTGGAATTTGGAAGTTACAAACAATAATTATGGTTTAGGTACATTTAAAACATAATTTAACAAAATCTCACCGCATGTAGTAGGTCTTTTTTAAATTCTTTTTTCAATATATGAGAAAGAGGCATAAGTGTAGTATCATCCTCTTCATCACTTTCACTGTTGGCTATACACCTATTTGGCATAGAATCACATTTATCATCATCAATTTCTATAATTTCAGTATTGTTGAACCATCGGCCTTTTTTATTAATAATATGAAAGTAATTGTGTTCATGCAGCACATTATAACTGCTCTTTGTATTTAGTCTAATATTTTTAGTTTTTTTACGAGACTTTCCTTTACGTATTTTTTTTCTTTTACTCATAATTTTTCTTTTAATATAATTTTCGTACCGTATTAAGTTTTATATTTTGTTTTTAAATCATTATTTAATACGATTTGTCAAGGCCTAAATGTATTTTTCATAATTTGTAAATAAGTTACAAGATAAAGATATACTATATAATTGAATTTTTTTTTACCTGTTTAACTAAAGTATATGCTGAAATAACCCATAATAGTTATTCTATTGCAATTCAATTACCTACATATAACTATACTATGTTCATATTCAAATTGAATTGATTATTATGTCTTGATATACGTAGATCTTACATTTTAGATTCTTGAAAATTAGGTGTCTTACTGAAAAATAAATGTATTTATAATTACAAAAAAATAAATATTATAATTCATATTATACAACTTTGATAAATCAAGTTTAATACTGTTAACATATTTACTATTGGTATGAATCATAGACATATGAATATCTTTATATTTATTATTTAATTACTGATATTGACTCAATTGGGATATTGGATATCAGTTTAAAATTAAATTAGATATACCTGAAAAAAAAAATCAAGTAAATTAATACAAAATATTTATTTCTGATACAGCTACCATTATTGTAGAAAAAATATTTTTAATTTGATTTATCGCACAATCTATACTTGTCATAGTATCGGATATTGGGTTTCATTATAAGATCTGCTTTGTATATTAATATATTATAATACATTAGTCTTAAACTGTTAACTATGTACCAACCGTAATGCCATTCCTAACCGTATGGTGATAAACAAAGCGTTGGAAATTAAAATCCCATTTTTAGCGGTTTTTTCGTAATTTGTCGGTGGTTTTTCTCGACTCTTTCTAAAACTACTTGGAATTTTCAATATTGAACTCTCATAAGTACTAACTAGATTCACTTTTCTATCAGAAAAGATGCTGATCTCAAAAATCGAAAATTGCTTACTATCTAAAATGTTTCTGACCGACAGAAAAAAAAAAACACATTATTGTAAAACCAATAATGTCTTTCGCTCCGCTCAGAATTTTCAAAATCGGTGGCAGAGAATATTCTAAACTTCAGTAAACGGAAAAAAACCAGGAATAAAAACTTCAGAACAAAAAACCTAAATATTATATAATAAATAAAATATGAATAATTTAGTAAAATGTTAATTTTAGGTATATTTATAAATTATAATAAATATAATCAATTTTCTTATTAATTTTATATTTTTAAAATTTTTAAAATTATTATTGCGTATCTACAGCTAATGAGGATCTATAATTTGTATTAGTGCTTTTACAGCTTACAGTTAATTCTATATTATATGTATAAGCTTATGTATACATTTGGTAAATAAAATAAACATCTTTGTAATACATTTTATTGGATAAAATAAATTAATTGATAATATTTTAATGCCTAACTAATTACCATTGTAATAAGAGTACTTTTGGTTTAGTTTTAGTTTAGTTAGGTTTTCGTTAGTATTTGAAGAAACTTCTTTACGAAGGGTACAAAGCCAAAAGATTATGTGTACTGAAATTGTGCTCACGAAACTCTAATTTCCATAAAAAGGAAAAATAAATAAAATGTAAATCCGGCAATTATTATTAATTTTTACTATTTAGATATTTAGTATATTTCTGTTTTATCAGACACCTTTTTTTAAAGTTTTTTTTGTTTTAATGTATATAGTTAAACATGCTGAAAACGAAGGTAAGTTAGTATTTGGCGCTCGGAGTTTGTTTTGAAGTTATAGCTGCTTGAAGTCCGAAACTCACCCAAGGTTAAACATAAAAAGTCGAGGGATGTTTTCGATTTGAATTGTCCTAGCGAGCACAGCGACCGAGTGGCTACGGCCGGTGTATATTATAAATTATAATATGTGCTTATAATAATTTTGTTTTAACACAGAAATCCACCCAAAATGGTTTTACATAAAAAGTCGAGGGATGTTTTCGATTTTAATAATTGTCCGTGTAATGATAACATATATAATTATCATTAACATTATTATTATTATAGGTTATGAACTTATGACTTATGACTTATGTTTTTATGTATTATAATATGTATCTTGAACACTAACTTGAACCTAAAATTCTATCAGGGCATGCAAGTCATTGCTGTGAGATTGTTCATTTTCATAATAGCCTAGATATCACTAAAAACTACAAAAGAAGTTTCACTTCATACACACGTGCTTACTGCTTGCATTCACGTTTTATTTTTATACATTTGGGTTTTTCCGGTTTTTTTCATTAGTTTATTTTTTCCCGGGATTTAAATACTTAATATTTTATTAAATGGTTCTATGCCATGTTACTATGTTAAACTAAGTTATATTTTTATATTAAAAAAATTAATTTTCGAGATCCTACTCTAAAGTTATGATAGACATGGTTAACATTAAAATTAGAACAAAAGTAATGATACAGTTTATTAAGTGTTTTTAATACATGGATAAATACATTAAATATTATTAAAAAATTATTTGATTAAAAGTCCCTTACGACTTTTGTTGAAATCGAAATAATTTTTACTACGAATGTGAAAACTGTAAGCTAAACTTGTAATCTTCCAAATTTATAGACAATAGGGTACAATTTTTTATTGGTTATTTATTTCTTTATTTTTATAAATCAACGGGTAAACACCTTAACACATTGACGGACACTACTGCTATAGCAGTAATTTATAATTTTGATGTTAGGTGGCATGACTGCTATAGCAGTAATGTGAAACATTTCATATTATGGCATTACTGTTATAGCTGTACTTATTCTAATGGTATCAAATGAAAGTAGACATCAGATTGCCGCATCGTGTTAGGTTAGATAATTGGGCACTGACATATTTTACAAGGAAAAAATACCAATATAATATACAATTTTCTATTTTTAGAATTCGGGTATATTATTGTTTATGCTGTTAATTCTATTGACTCACGTTATCTTTATTAACTGATTATTATGAGATTGTTCGAACCAGACGTTATCTTTATTAACTGATTATTATGAGATTGTTCGAACCAGACGAACGACAGTCGACGAACTAGTACACACTACACAGCAGTATTATACGCACTGTGCAATTGCTTAGTACCTAATGGCTAATACGTCTTGTAAAACACATAAACAATTGTAATTTTGTCATATATTGTATATTTTCATTCTTTTAAATATGAACCGAAGACAGATTAGTGAAATTCAAAATTATTTAAATGAGAGTGATAGTGGTTCTAGTTTGTTTTCTTGTGGGGACGATTCGGATAACGATCCGAGTTATGAACAACCAGGGGTACGACACTCTCACAATTCCTAATGCTATTTGAAAAAAGTGGGGACACGGCCTTGAACTCATGGGCACTGCCATTTTGTTATTTATGAGAATCAGCTGACGGGTCATATCATATATTTCAATAATTGATAGTTGATACTTGATACCATTATGATAACACAGAAATGATAATAAATTATATTAAAATTTATAATTTATGTCGAACGTGAAATGCGAAAAATTATAAGTTAATAGTTGTTGTTGGGTAGCCGTAAGCCATATAGGCATAGAACGGTTAAGTTATAACTGAAAGTATTAAAACGCAAACAAACAACAAACCGTTTATTGTAAAAAAAAAATCGTTCATAACAACACTCCTAAACCACCAGGTAATCATTTACAACTTCAACACTAAACCACCAGAGATCGACCACCAAGCAGAGTGTCGCTTCTGTATTGTTCTGTGGAACAACCAAGGCCACATTCTCAATCTTTGCCACCTGTACGTTGTTCGTTTGATTCTGGTGACGACTGTGGACCTGAACTTACTGGATCAAATAATTATCAAAATTCAGATGACAACTTGTCGGTGGATGACAGTTCAAGTGAGTCTAGTGATGATAATTCTGATACTGATAGTTGGGTTGAAGATTACGCCGATATTCCAGACTATGCATTTGATGATAGTCACAGTGGTATAAAATTAAATATTTCTGAAAGTTCTCGTGAATTTCCAATTGAAATTTTTACTCAATTTTGGACAGATGACATTTTTGATATGGTAATTGAATCAACTAATAAATATGGGGAAAATTTGAGTAAAGCTAATCGACCTCATAAAAAAAATGCACGAGCTTCGACATTCAAACCAGTAGATTTAGATGAAATCAAACGCTTTCTTGGTATTTGTTTACTTGGTGGAGCAGTAAAGTTTTCTGTTATTCGAGACATGTTTTCACAAAATCCATTATATTACCATCCGGTTTTTAATCATATTATGTCTGGCAGAAGGTTTGATCAAATACTCAATTGCTTTAGTGTACAGTATACTGACCGTTATAATAATGAAGTGATTGGACCTATGATGAAAGTCCAACCATTATTTGACACATTAATTCAAAATTTTCAGACAGCTTTTATTCCTACCGAACATTTATCAATAGATGAATCATTATTGTTACACCGTGGTCGAATTATATTTAGACAATATATAAAAAACAAGAAGGCTAGGTATGGCATTAAATTTTACGAACTCACTTCATATGATGGGTATGTGCTCAATATAGAAATGTACCAAGGAAAGCAAGAACAATCAGCTGTACCATCTAGGACATCAAAAATAGATAGTATTGTTTTAAGGCTAATGAATAATTACCTAAATAAAGGGTTCTCTCTATACATGGACAACTATTATAACAGTGTGACACTTTCAAATACTTTACTTGAACTAAAAACGCACACAACTGGGACTTTAAGAAAAAATCGTAAAGGAAACCCAAAAGTTGTAGTTGATAATAAACTAAAAAAAGGACAACATGTATGGAGACGTAAAAATAATGTTTACGTAAGTAAATGGAAGGATAAGCGTGATGTTTTGTGTATAACAACTAGAGTACATCCAAAATTAATACAGTCAGAAAATCGGTACGGCCAACAAAAGAACAAACCGTCGGAGATCGTCGAGTACAACAACTATATGAATGGTGTTGATCGGTCAGACCAGATGGTCAGTTATTATAGCAGTC